TATATACTGAAGTGAGTGTAATTGTCAGTTTCCTGTCCTCCTTTGTCCCTGCAGGCTCTCATCCAGCTGCCAGTCTACATCTCCCAGTGTGAGGAGGTCAGAGTATTCTTTGAGACCAGACCTGAAGACCTCAACCCACCTAAGGAGTAAGTACCACAGCTGGACGCACACACGTTAGAAACCCTCAGGGTCACATACAAAAGGAAACACCTGTCATCGTTCCCCTAACTGAGGTCATGTCACATCCTCTCGGTGTTCCCCCCCCCCATACTCAGCATTCATTCCACCCTCTGATATGATCTCATATTCCCACGTGACTTCCTGTGAGCAGAAACCGATTTAATGGGTTTTTTGTTCCTACACGATGAGTTTGCATGTGAAGCGTGTCGCTGCGGCTCCGCTCAGCCACCAGGCTCCAGACGGGGGAGGTTGATCTGAAGGTGTGCAGACCTGCTCTGTGGTCCCGTGTAAATATCACTCAACACATTAGCATCATATCCGGTGCTGACAGTTACAATGTGCTAAAACCAAGACATCAGCAGGCAATGAGCGCCAGCCTCCAACACATAGCTCACACACACTCGGGTCACGGTTTTTCTAAATGTGTTGTTGTTAAGGTTGGCGGCACCTTCAGGGCAGCAGAGGTTACGGGCGGCTGGTTCCAGAGAGACCAGAGAGGCTTTTTACACCAACAGCTGTCAGCTGAGCCCTCAGCTTTTTAACCCCTCTGTCATCACATACTGATGTGAGGCACCGGCGCTCAGAGGTGGACAATTAGTGGATAAATCCTGTTAGACACGCCTGGAGTACGTGTTAGGAAAGCAGTGAGGTCGTGTGCAAAAAAGGAAAGTGGGTTTTTCAATTTCCAAGACAAGGTTGAAAAATCTGGGTCACATAATGTAAGTTTACACCAAAACAATACTAATATACTGCACTAATCATATATAACATTATTGTTCACTTTTTTGCCAGTTACAATAGGAAAAAAAATATTCCTTCACATTGCGACTAAAATCTTTTTTTCTGAGATTTCCCCTGAGCTGTAGCATCAGTGCCCACTTTATGAATGTTATGCATTGTGAGACAATAGTGTCCATTAATAGTAGTTGTAAATATATTGCATTTAATTTCCTGACGACCATTCAAAGCTCCTCACAATACATTCAACATTCACTCATTCACACAGTGTTTGTCCACCACTCATGCATCCCAAACACTCACACGCTCACTAGCACAGCTGTCGGGGGCGATTCATGGTTCAGAGTCTTGCCCAAGGACACTTGGCATGTCAGCCGGACGAGCTGGGAATTGAACCACCGACCCTCCGATAAGTGGGATGACCTGCTCTGCCTTACCTCTGTTCTGGCTCTCTACCAGTGATATGATAATCAGACATAGACTGGTCTCTGAAAAGGTAATTGTGTAAAGAATTGAAAGTTTGTCAGCTGACTGTAGATTTCTGACACACACACACACACACACACACAGACACACACAGACAGACAGACAGACAGACAGCTTGTCTTCTGTCCTCCCCTGCATAAGGTTGGCAATGACATGTACCTCCTCACTCTTCGTACCCGAAGCCTGCGTTGGGGGAAGCAGCAGAGAGAGGGGCATTTACTCGAGGAGGCTGAATCCAGGAAAGACCTTGGTTTGTCTTTACTGAAATTGGATTAGTGCTTTCTGCTAGTGCAGCCTGTTGTTTGGCTGACTGACAACATGGGGCTGGTGCACAGACACAGCAGCCACTGTGGGAGAAGATTTATCATGGCCCATAAATCTACATGCGCTGAGAGGGTCATCTTGCACTTTCTCCTCAAAACGTTAGAAACGAGGGAAGAAGGGAGGATTTAACTGTGAAGAGGAAGCAGGGAAATGAGACCGAAGGAAAAGTTCACAGCAACAAGGAAAGGAAAGGAAAGGAAAGGGGAAAGTAAGGAGATCATAAGGGAAGAAAATAGAATTAGGTGATGGAGGAGGATGGAATTATGGAGCTTGATGGAAAAAAAGAAAAAGGAGATAATTTACAGACAAGACCCAACAGTCCCTGTATGAAACCACATTTAAATTCACAAGATCCAGATTTTTATTTGCATCTGCACCAGATTACAAACACTCATAAATATCAGTGCCATGAATTACTCTCTGACAAATAAACAAATAGGATCTTACAACGTTAAAGAATCCTTGTTTTTCATGTCAGTTGCCGTCATGTTTGTGATGTGAATGTTCCCATGATGATGAAACTACAAACTGGGATTGGGAGGATTCATTTGATATTAATGAAAATAGTCACATTAGGGTTAGCCTGCACACAAACAATACACAAACATTGCTTGTCTATAATAATTGAATTGCTTCTGTGGGCCTATAGGCAGGGATTTTATTTTTTACGGTACGTCAGTGGGTATGTTCATGGGTGAAGATTTACTGAGACCTGAGCCTCTGCAATTAACAGTTGTGCCGACTGAACAATGCTTTATGTGGCTGACAGCCTTCATGTTAATGCAGCGGAATGAACGAGGAGGAGCTGCCAAGGAACTGGTGAAGGGAGATTGAAGGAGTGAGTTAAGTAGAGATGGAAGATGTGAGTGGGGGAAAGAAGGAATGCGATGGAAGTAAGGGAGCGCAGAGGGAGAGAAGAGGCAGAGAAACAGGGGCTCTTCTCACATGTTGCTTATTAATAGATCCAACACAAAACAATGATATCCGACTACTGTGCATTCATTTGCTGGAGGAGTCACTCCTGTCGTGTTGTTGCATCGTGGCACAAAAAATGATCACATGAAAGATTTCGAAAGGATCTAAAATACTTCATTGTTTCAAAGTAATTACAGAAATAGTACTGGTAACAACATTAGACGTATCATGAAGTAAATGCACAAGTACAAGAATAATATATATAAATAATAATACATAATAATATTAACAAGATGTCCCCCCTGGTAGTAATGTGATGTTTTCCTCTCATTACCAGGGAACCCATTGGAAAGAAGAAATCAGGTGAGTCACAGCTTGATTTGTGTATTTTCATGAAAATGGGGTTCTTGTTCTTGGCTCTGGTCATTTTGTCTTTGAATACAAGTCCAGTAATTCTTATGTCGCCTAATATATAATATGACATTTGCTCCATCTAGTGGTCACTGACAATTGTTCTTGTTTCATTCACATACACACATTTAGTCTATATTCGTATATGTTAAAACTTTTTCTGGACTTGACGATTACTGCACAGATACACAGAAGCCGTTTCTCTTTATTCCCTTTCATCTTCTTCACTCATCTAAAATTCTTCAGTTGCATCCATGACACTTTTTTTCAGTTTTCTTCTCCATTCATTTTCCTTTCCATCAGGGATTGTGGAGAGAGCGACTACTTTCCTAAAGCGAGGTAGTAAACACGCTGTCATGGTTGGTCGTGCTGTGTGTGTGACCTCAACGGGTTGCTTTAGTGGCCTGTCCCCCCCTCTCCTCCTCCCCTGGCCTGGGCAGGTGGGATGTGGCTCTGTTGAATGCTCTGGTTCTAAAATGGACTCATACAATTGATAATATATATAATAATAATATAATTGATTAACTTAAGACCCAGTTTGGCTCATTTTTGTGTATTTAAGTGTGTTGTGGTGGAACAGAGGAGGAAAGATCGAAGATAATGACGGGATTTATTATTTTATATAGTGTAGATGCAGAGTGTTAGAATGCACATATTCTATCTTAGATACATTCAGCCTCATGCAAAGTCAAGGAGATTGAAATGAGGCAAATATATTGTGAACCAGTTCAATTTGTGTCATTGGTAAATTAAAATTTAAAAGTAATAGGACATTTATACATCATAATATTTATTTTATATATTACCTAATGTATACCAAAATGCCCTTGAATGGAATTGGGGTGAAATAAAGTCATTATTTTGTTAAAAATAAACCTGCTCACTATATAAACTGACAGAATTAAGCATCTGTTGCAGATAACTTGGAAAATAAACATGGTTGCTTTAATTTAAATAATTAACAAGCTGTTGCTCGCTGAATGGGGTTGAGGGACCTCGTGGCTGTGGAATTTTAAGCATTTTTAAGAATGTTACAAAATTAGAATTCAGCCCATCTGTACTATTATTATTTTCACATCACATTTAATTCTTCACGTCAGGTCAGAAGTTAATGTTCCTTCATCCGTAATGCACAGAACTACAGGTTAATGTGCTGTGTGTCCACCAAAAGGTATTTTTTCCAGTTAATTATATATGGGATTAAGGTTTCTGGTTGTATTTTGAGCCCCTCATGTATTAAAGGTTGATTTGATTCGGGCCGGCTTGGTGCTAACATCGGTGGTGGGTCTCCGTGGTGCTGGTTTGTGTCTGTTGATGATTGACTTAACCCTCCTCCACACTTTTTAACTTCCTCATTCACTCCCATTCTCCAAGCTTCCCTTTTTTACTCCTCCTCTGTCAGCTCATCGTTTCCCTCACGCTCATCTCAATCACATCCGTCATCACTCCTCTGCTTCATCTCTTTTGTGAATCTCAATACTGTAGATAAGCCTCCTCTCAGGTAAACTAAATTTGAACCTTGGAATTAATTTAGCATTTCAGTGTCTGGAAATTAGATGCAAAAAATCTGAAATTTGAATATTTCAAGGCCACAGAGATATAATCTTATGATTTTAAATTCATGGACACCTCCTTCATAAGACATTAATGAATAACACCAAACATCCGTAGTAGATATCTGGTAAAGATTAGAGGCTTTTTTGCATTATTGAGACTTCATCTGTAGCTTGCCGAAGAAAGTAGCAGGAAGAGAAAAGAGCTGAATGAGCCTCTGCTCTTATTTGTTCCCCTGAACAGGAGATTCCACCTCAGCCGATCCTCTCCTCCTCGACCAGTATGTGGCAGTAACGGACTACGAGAAGCAGGAGAGTTCCGAGATCAGCCTGCAAGTGGGTCAGATGGTGGAGGTCATCGAGAAAAATGAGTCTGGTAAGTTCTGCTCAGCATCGAGTACAGTCTTTTATTTATTTTCTGCACAAAGGTAGTTGGTTTATGGATCACTCACTAGTGGAGGGACAGAGGCATGCTGGGAATCACAGCTGACAATATGAGTTTTTCAGAGATTCTTAAATTTTTTTAATTTACTTTTTCAATTATTATTAAATTAAATATTAAATGAAAAGATGTGTCATGAAATCTTAAAAGGTCACCATGTTAATATTCTGCTCACTCAGGTTGGTGGTTTGTGAGCTCCGACGACGCCCAGGGCTGGGTCCCTGCCACCTGCCTCGAGGCACAGGACGACCCTGATGACTTCAGTATTCCCGGGGAAGAAGGTACATGAAACTTTTCCCTCTGCTGTCGTTGACACACCGTTTTGTCAAGGATGTAGAGAGGCTATTTAACACCTAAATGTACGTGCAAATTCATGTAGAAGCAGGTAGAGTTTAAACTGGACTCCTATGCAGTGTTGACCAATATGTTTAACATTTGTTGCCGGCTTTCTGTTGTTTAGTGCCACACCAGACACTTCTATATTTAGAATAAATAATAAATAATTATTATTAATTGCTTATTTTCTGGAGAAGATTAGTCAAACACTAGTTAATAATAATATGATGTATATGAGCAGACATTAAAAAATGAAAAATTATGCCATCTGTGGCATACATCTGAGCAGGATCCATAAAAACTGTGATGTAGATTTTTAAAGAACGACACTATAATGATAATGCAGCGTATGGTTGGAGCCCTGCTAAGCAAGGAAGGGTTCCGAGCCAAAATACAAATTACAGAGCATATTTCAAGTCTTGGAAAGTCTGAGAAGTATTTGGTTTAAAAGTGGACACTGAGGTTACTGCACTGTTTCCGCTCATCAGAGGCCTGGAATTAGAGAATGACTCAAATTAAACATCTACGTTCACTGACGTTATCACAAATGAGTTGAACTTTGGTTTCTTTTAGGGCGACCATTACTGAAAATGCTTTAATTTAGGATGCAAAAGATCATCGGGATGACACATGTAATGTTCACTTCCTATTTTGCCCCACTCACTGTGCCGGGAACAGTGCCGAGGAGATTCTGGTCACTGCCAAGGCACGTGGGTCGTCGCAGAACTTTAGGGGATCTATTCAGCACAGGCTTTGGGCAAGGTGGAGCGCACGCCTTTCTTTCCCCCTATTCTCAATGTGTGTGTGTGTTTGTGTGTATGTGTGTGTGTGTGGGTGTGTGTGTGTGTGTGTGTGGTGGTTTATGTGTATGTTTATGTGCGCTGCATGAGAGACCCAAGCATGTGAATTAAACCCTTGCATGCAAAGTGTTTTGTGTTTATGTATGTTTTTACAGCTGTAAATGTAAAACATGTATCATTTCAATTAACCAGCATTAATAATCACTTGGTAGATCAGTGTAGTTGTAGTAGTAGTTGTTTATATCTCTGTAGTTTATAATAGTAGAAATAATAAATATTGTAGAAATGACTTCATTTCTAATACAGTAACAAGTTTGTCTTGTTTGTGATCAATATTTGTGGAGGATGTTTGTGTGTTTTGTGCGTCTATCTCACATCTTCTCACTCCACAAGATGCTGCTCAAGCCTTGCCTCATTTAATTTAATCACTCTACTTATATAAAGCCAAAGTACTTAAGTAGCCATGACAGTTTCTCATCCTTGACCACAAAGGGAGAGGGTTGAGTTGGACAAAGTGCTTTGAACCTTGTGCTTTGTCACCCAAGCTTTTATGCTAAATCAACATTTACTTCCCAGAACGGACATTATGATCTTATATTTTACGATATTGTCTTTCCTCCAACTCTAGATGAGAAGTATTCAGTGATTTACCCGTACTCGGCCAGGGACCAGGATGAGATCGACCTGGAGAGAGGCATGATTGTCGAGGTGATTCAGAAGAATTTGGAGGGCTGGTGGAAGATCAGGTAATTCGAGCCAGTCACATCAGAGGAGACATATTACACTTTTTTCCTCTGGCGTGTTGTGTAAGTTTTGAATGTAGAAGTTCTGTATGGTTGCAGGTCCTCTCCCCCCCAGATATCATTGCCCCCTAAGCCTCTGAAAATCCTCATCAGTAGTTACATTCTTCTGCGTTGCCCCACATTCACACAATACATGGCTAACAGCTAGTTTGTCTCGCCTCCTAACAAAGCCAGGTAGAGTGAGAGTGTTGGACGACATTTCCTAAAATGTTGCATTACAAGTTGAACTGACTGCCTATTAGTCTTCCCTCTCATTTTATATCAAAACGCAGTGAGGGTACGTCTCTTCTTCACTCAGATACCAGGGCCTCGAGGGCTGGGCCCCGGCCTCCTACCTGAAGAAGGCGGACATTCAGAGCCAGAAGCAGTCAGCAGGAGCCGCTGCCCACGCCAGTACAAACGACCTCGACGGGTTCTCCAAACAGGGCCAGCAAAACAACGCAGCTCGAGAGAACAGCCAAAAAGAAAACAGGCTCTCGTTTTTCTCCGACAACAAAATTAGTATGTGAACTTAAAAAAGGCAGCTTGTGATTTGTCTTTTACTTGAGACAGTGAACAGATTTTTCAGAAGGTCTGTTCCCTGCTGCTGTGCAACTCAACAAAATCTCTGATTACATGTGTTTTCCCTCCACAGAAATGAGATCCAGACACAGACCTCCTCCTCGCAGAGATCTCACCATTGTAAGATTTAGCACAGCAACGATCCTTTTAACTTGGGAATTTCTCTCAACAGAAAGTTTTTAACAACTTAACCTTTACATGTCTCTCTCATATTGCACAGCCACGAGGTGCAAATCTACCCAAGCCACCCATTCCTCCTCAGGTTGAGGAAGAGTTCTACACCATAGCGGATTTCCAGACCACTATACCTGATGGTATTAGCTTCCAGGCTGGAGTTAAAGTTGAGGTGGGTCAGGCACTGCTCATAATTGTATTTTAGAAGAAAAAATAAAAACAGATTTTATAGCATTTGGCTTGAATAATGAATGAAGTGATGAATTTGGGAATTTAATCTGTTTATTCATTTTTTTTATCACCTACCAGGTGATTGAGAAGAATTCAAATGGTTGGTGGTACATCCAGATAGATGAAAAAGAGGGCTGGGCCCCAGCCAATTTTATCGACAAGTACAAGAAGACCAGCAATGCCCTGAGACCTAATTTCCTTGCCCCTTTGCCCAACGAGATGGAGAACCTGAAATTGGAAGACGGTGGTTGTTCAAATGCATCAGGCACAGATGACAGCTGGTCCAAGCCTTTACCAGATGAGCCTACTACTGCCACCGAGTCCTGTGCCCGACCTAAACTCAGAGACTGGAAGCCCTGTGCTGCCAAGGGGGGTCCTGCCTTCCCAGGGCCGTTGCCTCCTGCCCCAGCTGCCCCTCCAGTTGAGGAGAAACCAGCTCTCCCACCTCGAAGGGAGTCCATTAACAAGAGCTTTGAATTGGAGGTAGCAGACAAACCAAGACCTGATCATTCCAAGCCTTTGCCCCCAAAACCCCCAGCTCCTGGAGGCATCATGCCTCTGGTACTGCCCAAGGCACCCCCCTTCAAACCAGACAAACCACCAGAGACCAAGAAAGAAGATAAGAACAAAGCTCTTCACCTTCGGAATGAGATGGGTCTTGAATGTGGTCACAAGATCTCTGCCAAAGAGGTGAAGAAGTTTAATCTGAAACCTGTGCCAAAACAGCCACCGAAACCCAAGCCTGAGGTGCAGGAGGAGAAACCAGAAGCACCTGGTCCGTCAGTGTTAATGAAGCCCAAGCCTGTGATCCGACCTAAACCTCTCCCAGCTGCCAAGCCAGATCCCCCAGCGGAGAACAAACTAGACATCACCAACTTGAGGAGCAAGCTGAGGCCGTCGAAACCTGCAGACCCGGGTTCTGCGTCATCTGAAGCAAACCATCAGAACGACGCCTCAGCAGCAGTTAATAGTTCTCACCCCAGTTCACTCACAAGCTCGCCACCCATTCATATCCCTTCTATCAACAATGCTAAGTACTGTGACGAGCCAAAAGTCCCCCCAAAACATGTAAATGGTCATAGCCACGAGAGCTCATCACCCCCTGCAAAACCATTAGTGCCTCCCCACAAGGAACCCCCTCAGAGACCCCCCACCATGGTTCCAAGAAGACCTCCTCCTCCAAAGAAGACAGACCCATCCAGTCCAACTGAGCTCAAACCTCCACCTGCTCTACCAGAAATCCAGGATATTCCCAAGGCCGGACCACCCCAGCTCAGCAGGCCCCCTCCCCCTAAACCCAAAGGGTTTGTCCCGATGCCTCCAAACAAGGATAAGGAAGAGTGCAAAGTTAATAAAGTCCCGATTCCTCCCAAGCCCCAGTTGAAGAGCGAGAAGCCTGGTCCGCCCAAGGACAAGCTTCCACCTTTACTCAAGGAGCCCAGTAGGGATGAGCTGTATCTCGCTGTCGCAGACTTTGAAGGGGACGACCAAACATCCAGCTTCAAAGTGGGTACAGTGTTTGAGGTGCTGGAGAAAAACACCAGCGGCTGGTGGTTCTGTAAAAATGTCAAAGGTGAAGTCGAGGGCTGGATCCCCTCGAATTACCTGAGCAAGAAACCTTAGTGTGAACGTGCTCTCACAACCACATGGCAACCACATGAATCAATAAATAAAATAAGGATATCAATGAACAAATTATCACTATTTTGTAGTTAATTAGCATTTTTTAATTTATAGGTACCTTTTTTTTATTGTAACATTTGTTATGTTTATTTTTTGCAAGGATGTTCTACCAAAACTGAACCAGCAATAACACATGCCCTTATGGGTTTTGTGATGTTTACTTCTTTTAGTTTTTATCTAAGTATTAGGTGAAATATTATCTGCTTTCATCGCCATGTGCTAGTTGCAGCCTGTGCCAGTCCTGCCATTAGAAAGGCTCGACGTTATAACAGCGACAATAGTATCTACATCCTCCTATGATACGGTGCCTCAATATTATATGCAAAGTGCTTCAGTGCTTTATAAACTGTTTGTGACTGTAAACATAGTCCTTGTTGGAATCTTTTTACTAAACATTAAAAAAAAATCTAGATAACAGGAGACTGAACTAGATGTTCAAATCCAGCAGTAGACAAAAAAACAAATCCAAAGTCGCTTAGACAATGACTGCACATTAACTCATTAGAGGAGGTCAGTGACCACATCTGGGCTTTCAAGTGCTATTAGCAATTACTAAAAATGTATTTGCCAAGTAGAAGTGCTGTTTGTTATAACAGAAACATGCATTTTAGTTTTTCTAATGTTTTTCTTCTTAAATGAATGTTGCAGTGACCTGTAACAAATGGGCACTTTGATCAGTCAGATGAGGTTTATGGTTTGCACATGCTCCAGGAAGGATAATAAAAATGTCGCGGTGCATTTTATTTCTTAACTTTACTTGTCATTGAATTTGCCATATTTTTTCATACTCATTGTAGCAAAAAACGTCAACGTAAAGACGAAGCTTGAGCGACAAAACTGAGGTGGTGAAGGGAAAAGAATCTTTATCGAAAAAAAAGAATGGAGAAGTGAGCACATGAGCGTCTCTGCACCAGATGTCTGAGCAGGCGTGAGAAAATGGAAATCTACAGTGACTTGTGCAATGATTTACAGTATTTTAAGTGTAATGTCGAATAACAGCAAAGAATGACCATTGTATAAAAATAATGTTTTACATTAATGCTTGACTGGTCTCAAGCATGGTCAGAATAGCAAATTATTTTTTATTGTACAGTAATAAGATACTTTTCTTTGGTGCTCCAGCTCTTAGGTGTTTTGTTCTGTACTGATGAGTTATGAGAAAGGCAGGAAGATCCAGGAGAGACGGTGGTTGGTGGATTAATGGGATTTATGAGATGAATGCAAAGTAGGTCTGTTGAGAAATGGACATGAAACCACTCACTGATAATTTCACACCAAAAAAAGTAAAAGCAAAATTAGAAAATAAAACACAATTGTATGTTCATCGTTCTGGACGTAATCAGACAAAGCTACAAGCTGCAACACTGATTCTGTTCTGCTTCTAGTCGCTTTAATGTTAAACCACATTTTTTTTTATAAAGAAATGACAGTACCAATAAATTAAAATACTATTGTTCCGGCATAATAAGTGTGAAGAAGTTACAGTACAGTGCAAAGCAAAAGTGTGGTATGATGGTGTCAGTATTGTAATCTTATTTACTTTTTTGCAATGTATTTTTCATTACATTGAGTCTCCTTTTACTCAAGTCAATAAATGTTTTTGATTTTTCAGTTACGCTGTCAAACTGTGTCTCAATTGTTGTTTGAAATATCACGAGACAGAATGGTTTTTTTTGCTTTTTATTCATTGCCAAGTTAAAAGTCGTAAAATTATTGTTTTAATTACTATTTTTATGTTTCATGATAAATCAATTCATTTTTTTTTTTTATAAAATCAAGAAACCAACAGAGTTTTTGTGGGTAACTGAAGTTAAATTAAATTTGTTTTTCTACAAGAAAACCACCGGTCACCTTTATCGATTTAATCAGAGGAGGACTCATAGAACTTGGGGGATATTTAGCCTTGTTTTGCTCAGTGTTTGCTGCTTGCTAACACATTAGCCACATAAAGTTTTATATTATAATGTTAGCTTTGTATTTACAGCTGAGTACATTTTGCGGTGACTCACCTCTGATGGCAGAACTTCAGCTTTGGTGCCTCCTGTGGGTTTCATTGTATTCCCTGCACATGATTAGATATAATAAGAAAGTTATTGCAAGTACGAGAAGAAACTTACAATATACAAATGATTTTCCTCTTACCTTTTTCTTCATGGTCCAACTTCCCTGTCAGTCTAGTATGTAAATTTCACTTTGACCTTTGAGTCAACTTTATGAAATGTTTAGGAAGTTGTGCCCCTGATGAAAATCCACATGTTCAGTTGTAAAGAAATCATGTCTGGACGTCCTCACATCAGGATGAAGATGCAACAATTTTAAAAAAAAGACCACCACAATCCAGTAATTAGAAAATCTGCATTTATTAAGTTATTTACAACAGTGGTTCCTTCTGATACAGTTTCATTCACACTCACGACCCCTCCATACAAACATCGCCATGTAAACTGAGGCAGAGAGGAAGACCTAGATGGAGCCATTAAACATGACAGGAAGGAGAATTTGTACATCTTTAAATACTTCAGAGACAGTGTGCGAGAGGGAGCCAGAGAGAGAGCGAGACACTGAGCTGTACCTGATTACTGACCTGATGTGGTGTAAACCTGCAGGTCAAGCTGCTCTAAAAATCACTTTCTCACTAAGGCGACAAGTTTCTCAGCTGCAAACGTTGATGATACATCGAGAGGCATCTTCTAGCAGCCTGAAGGGTTGCACTCCCTTAAAAATTACATGAAGAGTCATGTTCCAAATGCAGATCATCACCTAAAAATGAGACCCCTGCTTTCTAAGCCCCCCCCCTAAAAAAAACGTAAAAGATAAAATAATTTTAAGCAATGTTTTTTTTTTTTTTTTTTTGCATAAATCTGATACATCTGGTTTTGGTTGAAACTCTTCACATTGTTCTCCCTCTCAGTGCAAAAGAAGGCAAATTTAAGAAAAACTAAAAACCTCTATAAAAGGTTAGCAAAGACATACATGTAATATTGCACTTTGGTTAGCAGACAGTGCATTAACTGCACACGGTATAACAATGACTCACTTAATAACTTTTGTATTTATTTAGCTTTAAATCCCCTGTTTAACATCCTTCAAAGAACATAACAGTATTTTACTTTGGCTTCGTCAGTTCCCATCCAGTGTGACTGATTTTACAGTAAGAATACAACAGAACAATAACAAAGGTCACACCATCCAACACGACATGAAAAATAAAAAGAAAGTCATTCCTTGTCTGTTAAAATCTAATACCTAAATAATCATTTTGAAAGAAATTAGCAATTTTTGATTTTGGATATAGCCTCATCCCTAAATTATTTAAACAATACTTTAAAAAATAATAATGACAAGATCCTTCATACCATGGGTGTTGGTTAAAAGAAGAGAAAAAGAGTTTACAGTGATGAATCTGGATAAGATTTTTCTTAATCAGTAAAAATAAATACAATCTAACTTTGGCAGCTATTTGACATGCGTCTGTCCGACAAGCAGCAGAATAAGCCGAGACAGGAATTCACAATAAGGTAATTTGTTAATATTTGGGTGGGTTTTTGGTCAAATGTGGAAGACGACACTGATCATTTGGGGTGAATAAAAAGTGCTTAGATTCTGGCTCACCAGCTTTTATAGAAACAAACATAAACTCTCATCATAGAAAAAAAAGATTTCCTCCTCGGGACAACAAACTACTTTCAAACCAAATTATGAAGACTAATTCAAATCATGTCTTCAGAGAAAAATGGGTTAAAACATAAATATGAACTAAAACAATAAAGGGACCTGATGGAGGGGAAGGTATGCTGCTATTACTGATAAAGCAAAATAAAACTGAGGCAGCAGACTTGTAAGTGTATGAGCGTGTGTGTGTGTGTGTGTGTGCGCGCAGTATCACAGCAGCTGTTTCTATGTGGTGGAAGAGTCTTGGTAAGGCACAAACTTGGAGAGTTTATGGGGAGAGCTGGGGTTTGAACAGGCTGTACACTCGCTCATCTTGAAGAACGCCTCCTGCTCCTTTTTCTTCATGGTCAGGTCTTTTTCGAGGGTCTGGAGGAAGAAATCAAAACGTGTAGGATTTACATAACCATGCTCACATAGAGGGAGGGAAAATTGATACTGTATATGCAGGTGGAATATTGCAAGATAATATATAAGTTAAGGAAAAGAAGAGGTCAAAGTTGTCTGTCAGCACGATTATACAAAAACTACCGAGCAGATTACCATGAAACTTGAAGGAAAGATGATTTGAGAAAGAAGCTAATTAAGTTTAGCACAGATTTGCACAAAGGGGCCATGATAGGAAGTTTCATCACTTTCTTCAAAGTTATTCTTTTTTTTCACTGGTTTCCCAGGAAATAATTCATGGATCTAGATGCAAAAATTTAAAAAAAACATAAGAAACATAAATATGGTAATACATTGTGGCACGGCTCGGGACAAAGGGGCAGATGTGTCTTCTTGTAACATTGCAAGAGTTTTGGGTTGACTCACATTTATGTTTAATCTAAAACATAAATGTGTAGATAAACCAAATGAAATCAGAAATTTGGAAACGCACCTTCTTCCTGGGTTTCAGCTGATCCCTCCATTCCTTCATCAGCTGGTTGTGTTGCTCATCCAGATGCTTGAGCCTCTGTGTCTCGTTCTCCACCAGCAGGTGACATTTTTCATTCTGCAGCACAAAACAATCTTTTGTTAATGACAAGGCATTTGTTGCTGCTCATTTACTGTGTCATCCTGCTGACAAACTCCACTGGAGAGATCTGCCCTGGATTTGACAGGGCTGTGACAGGATGTAACATGTGAGTCACCTGCAGCTGCTGCAGCTCTCGGATGTTGCCTTCACACTGACCGATCCGCTCCCTCATCTGATTCTCGTGTTTCTGCTGCTGATGCAGCCTCTCAGCCTTCTGCCGCTTCTCCTCCTGCTGAGAAAACTACAGAAACACCGGGGAGGGGGGGGGGTTAGTGAAGAACAAACTTTCTGCTTAAACATGGAGAGACACAATTACCGAGAGCCAATTACCTGTTTGATCTTCTCTCTGTCTTCAGAACTGCTTCCCGTCCAGTTGATGCGGAGGCTCTTCTTGAACATGGCCATGCGGGTCTTGGCTTCGCCACGCTGGATCTTGGGCAGTCGGTTCTTTTCCTGCTGCTGCCGAGCTTTCAGGATCTCAATCATTCGCTGATTGTAGCACTGCATATGCTCTTGCTCCTGCAGTCACGAGGAAAATAGATCAAAATGAACCATATGCTGGACGATAGCAGAACATTGAACCCAGCTGGTTCTGGAAAAGCGAACGAGAATCACTTCCTATGACTCCAGCCTTGATTTTGACACGTGATCACATGATTGAGTAAATATTAAAACTTCAGTGTTTGTAGGTGGAGAGGTTTGATCCACTGGTTTACCTTTTCATGTTTTTTGAGCAGCTGGTGCCTCTGGAGAAAGTATTTATCCTTCAGCTGCTGCTTCAACAACTGATGTCTCTCGTAAAGATTCTTCTCCTCCATGTCCCATATCGTGGCCTCACGCTCTGATCAAAGTTATTGGAACATGATATGAGGATACTGTACACATGTAAAAAAGGACAACAGGTCAGGTTCTGTGTGACTTATGGAAACTGTACCTCTTATTAGGTTGTGCTTCTTGTTGAGACACTCCTTCTCCATTTCTGCGATCTCTCTCTTGTTGTTGGAGATGATTTTCTTCAGCGTGGTGTCCAGGTAGTTCTTCTGATGCGCCACAAATTTCTCCTCCTAAAAACACGAGACGTGGAGGAAGGACGGAGACGATTAGCAGTTTCATCCGGATAAGATCATTATTAGATTATGAAAATTGTTACCAAAAAGAAGAATGGAACAGGTTTAGCAGTTTTAAATGTGTCAGGTTTGGTTACCATGAAAACACCACGAGCCCAAGTTTGGACCAAACAACTCACCTCTTTAATCTTCATTTCTTGGAAGGAGCTCATCTGCTGTTTCATGGAGTCTTTACGCTGACTTCTGGGCAGCTTATCAACAGCCTGTTTCATCTAGAGAAGCCACAGTGGAGCTTTATTCAGTGACTCTGACACATGAGTATGTGTGGAAACAAAAACACTGTCATGTTGTGATTTGACAGGATTTAAGAAATGAAAGCAAGAAGATTCCTCATTAACTCAAACCTACCTCCCTTTTCTTGTGTTTCATTAGATCCTGAAACTTGTTGTGGTCCCGCTCCTGCACTGTTTTGATGCGTCTGGTCTCGTCTTTGAGTTTGACGCTGTGGTCTGCCTCCATCTTCTCTATGGTCTGCTTCTGATGCTTCTCCAGGTTCTCCAGCTCCAGGTCATAGTGCTTCTTCTTGGCCTGGGATGACAACCAATGACAAACAAGCAAACTCAAGCTTAGGAGTTACGATCTGAAACACTGTCGGGCTGCTTTTATTGGAGTGAAGACTATTTTCATTAAAGGAACAAAATTTTAAATAATACACTCGAATAAAGTAAAAGCATCACAAGCAACAACAAAGTTAATCTTCACTATAGTGGGATATTGTAGGGCTATTGTATTGGATCACATATGATATCATGTACTCACAGGTATAAACACACTGTGTGTATGTGTGTGTATGTGTGTGTGTGTGTGTGTGTGTGTGTGTGTGTGTGTGTGACTCACATTCATCTCCTGGTCAAATCGTCTCTGCATCTGTTCTTTCTGTGTTTCCAGTTTGCTATTTAGAACAGCCTGAGCTCTGTGCTCCTCCTTCTGCAGCAAACGCAGCTCCCGCAGCTCCTGACGCCTGAACACACAGACACACACACACATTTTCAACATTTGTACAACTTGAATGTATAAGTTATCAGTGCTGTTGTTTAAAGGTTCAACTGAAATCACAATTAGTTCTTATCTGAAGGAAAACTTAAAAATATAAATGATTCAGATAAAACCAATATTTAGCTGTTGACAGTTTTGGAATTGAATATGAAATTGCGGTAAATAATTCAACAAGGTGAGGTCAGTCATAGTTGACAAGGATATATTAAAGAAGTTTTTCATTTGTGTTTTATTTGAAGCGAAGGAACCATAGATATTATATTGCATATGATAGATAATATATTACAGATTTTAAAGTTGGCCAAAAAATCTATTTCAATCTGTCTGGCCCAAAGGGGGACCCTCAGCCTGTGACGGAACATTACTGGTTTACGCAATAATGAAGTGAAAAGACAGTGTGAAAATATATATGACCTATATAAACTGATTTTCGGAGAAATACAGAATGATGTTGTTTTTCAACTGTCGTTCATGCAAGGTCATATCCTCACCACTAGATGGCAGGAGTAATACATCAGGAACTCAAAGGCAGAGCCATGTGTTTGTCACAACTGTACAAACTAAAGAATATTTAGAAATACAAGCAACAACAAAATAAAAGTGTATGAATCATCTTCAACAACGTCTGGATAGTTAAAGAAACTTCAGAGACTTTTTTCTTCCCCTTTAAGAACATAACCTAAATAAATCTTTTTCCACTTGGATCGTTAGTTTACTTTAATCCCGAAGGGCTTAAGCCCAAAAGAGCAGGATGCCTTAAATAGAAGGTTCTGTGTACGGGAACTTCACAGGTCACTTATCACTGTGTGGATTTCAGTCTGAGCGAAGGAATGAACAGAACCCTGAGATCACAGCCGCTCATTTACAGGGAATGAAAACAGATGAATCTTTCCAAGAAGAAGAAAAAAAGACCAAGAGACTCAGATAAATGTGACTCGTCTCATCTGGAGGGTAAATAGATCAGTTTGCGTGTGTGTGTGTGTGTGTGTGTGTGTGTGTGTGTGTGTGTGTGTGTCCTGTAGAGACTCTGCATACCTCAGGAATCTCATCTCCTCGTCTTTCTTCTCATCGTCCCTGATGATCTTCGAGGTGGTCACACTCACCTCCACGCCGTCAATAACGTACTTCCTGGTTCGCTTCAGAGTCTTACTCGAAAAGTCCTGGAAAACAGATAAAGGGATTTAGACTCGATCAGATTTAGACAAGTCAAATCTTTAAATACACTAATTGATTTAGAGACATGTTGGAAGAATATGAACATGACGCTCATTGTGTCACAAAGAATTCCCACAATTATCTGTTTAATGTAGACCAAGTTAGCATTGCACTTTTAAAAGCGTTAAAGGTAAATTAAAAGGTGACCAAACTTAAACGTCCTGTTACCTTGGGTATACCTGTGGATTTCTCTGGGTTGAACTTTTTGGATAAAGTCAGTACAGAAGTGAAAAACATATATAACATCAGTCTAGTTGTATTTAGACTTTGATGGAAGATTTAGACGCATTATATTAAATCAAAGAGCTTTAATCAGCAGAATCCGATAAATCATCTTGTGAGTTTTTGATTCCCAACGATTTCTGTTGTTTTGTTGTAGTCTGGTGAAAAACAGAGGCAATTGTGTTTTGTGTTGCGTTGTGTTGTGTTGTGTGAGTTCACGGAGGCATTAACTTTCCTGTCAATCTGGTTCTACTGTAACAAGCAATGAGATGCTCCATCTGTCTGGGGAGGGCCATGCAGGAATTCACTCTCTTAACAACACAACCTCATCTATGAAGTATAACACAACGTGACCTTTCTTTTAAAATGTATTAAACTCTTTACAACAACTTCTTTGTTACCTCCACTGAAATATAGAGATCCACAGCTGTGTTTTTTCGGAGGGGGGCAGGACTTTTTACTTTGCTCCCAGATAAGAGTTGAACAAAGTCCATGTATTTTTAGCAGGTATGAGAAATACAGCACAGGCCAACCACACAATGTGTATGGATGTCATACTAATTAATATAATGTTTAGATATGAGTGATAGAATAATCTGGCATTTCCACGCGCTGCTATCTAACTCACAATATTTACAAGACGGATATGGCAGGGTTTGCTGAGCAAACACTGGGTAGGTCCACCCCTGGATGTTGTCATTTCCTGGTTTATAAATAGTTTATATAAGAGGGAGAGGAGAAGTGAAGAGAAGACACAAGATGAGAGGAGAGTTAGAGGACGAGGAGAGGTATAGAGGACGAGGAGAGGACTAGGAGAGGTATAAAAGAGGTTGAGGACGAGGAGAGGTTGAGGACAGGTAAAGGACGAGGAGAGAGGTGAGGTAGCAGACGAGGAGAGGAAGAAGTAAAGAGGATGAGTAGAAGAAGAGGACAGGAAGAGGAGAGGCATAGGAGGAGGAGAGGAAGAGGGTGAGGAGAGGTAGTGGTAGAGGTAGAGGAAGAGGATGAGGAAGAGGGTGAGGAGAGGTAGAGAGGCTCTCATCTCCGAGTTACCAAATGCAAACACTAACGCTCTAAACACATGTGCAGTACAGAAACACTAACACAACACAAAACTGCAGACTTGACTTAATACGCCCGTCCTCCCATCCTGAGACAAAGATGGTCCATTCACCCTCAGACTGCTGAACAATGTGGTCTGGAAAGAAAGTGAACATGCCACAAACAGACACGACTCCGTGCACACTCAGAGTTCAATCATGGTCAGTCCATAAGCATCCAGAAGCAACCGAGTGACAATGAGCTGCACAGAAACTTCCATTCACAGGGATGAATACTGAACTGTGCGCACACAAAGGGCTCTGTTGGTGCTGGTGGATAAAAAATGTTGCATATTTCACTTCAGAAACCCTTGGTATCCAATGATGAGACGACTTCTGTCTCCTCCTCACATCCTTGCAGGATTTTAAAGGCACACATTTGTTAAATTGAGATAAATTGTACTCTGTGATACTTGATTGAATAAATTCATATTAACTATAAACCCTGACCACATAATGTAACTTAAGTTGTGAGCCTAATGAAAGACAGGCTGCCGTCTGTTGCAGATTGCTAACACCCACACTCCAAAACACAACACAATGCACTTTCAGTTCCTCTGTGGGTGCAAAGAAATACTTTTTCCAGGGTGGAGTTTTCCTGCAGAGGCAGAGAGCACTTCTCTGTACTTCTTCAACACTTCAATACTACCCTGACCCTTTTTCTCCAGAAAAACATGATCTCCTAAAACACCTGCATGTGTGAATGAGGGATACATCTTCTCTGCCTCGAAACCATTACGTTAAAAGCCATTTTCATTGCTACCTCTGCCAAGGAGGTAATGTGTCCGTGTGTTGTTTGGTTGATGTGGTTGTTTGATAGTGAGCAGGATTGCACAACACAACTGGATTCATTCAGGAAGGAACCAGCTACATTTCCATGCAGATCCAGACCAGAGGGACAGATTCACAAATATTCTCTCACTTTTTTTTTAACGTTTTTAAAAAGTTCAGGAACTGATATCTTTGACTATGTAAAATTTGGTGCAGGTTGATTTGATATAAGGGGACTGTTGGGCTTGGGGAAGGTATGCACTAATAATAATAATAAGAAGAATGTACAGATCGAGTTTGCTTAATTGTGACTCACCCTGGCAGACATTGAGATGTTCTCCTTGTTTATCGACATGTCCATGCTCTCAGACGCCATGCTGCCAGAGTAAGAGAACCGTTTGTTGATGATCCCTCCGTTGATATAAGGCGAAACGGTCTCACTGTTTCCTCCTCTCAACATCCGCTCTGGTGTATCCTTGGTGAGGTTGCCATTAGGCCCAGAGCGGGAAACAGAGACTGGCCTGGGGGCAGAGGAAGGTGCTGGAGAAGGTGCAGGAGTGACAACGGGGCTCGGGCTCCTTGTTTCTGTTGTTTCTCCATTAGCGATAACAACATTGCTCTTATCCTCAGTCACCTGGGTTGTGGGCTTCTCTGGGTCTGGTGAGTCTATGATGATGTCGACATGCTCCTCAGATGCTTCGGTTCTGGAGAGAGATGGTGGCTGCTCTGGCTCTGGCGTCTCCACAGCAACCTTAAGAAAATATGTTTGCACAAATATTATAATATATTTGGACACAGGACAGTCAAAAGTCCATGAACCAGAAGATACATCAGTGTGTAGCATTTTATTTGCAATGCAACGGACAAGTGTAAAACTTCAGTGCACCTTCTCCTCCTCTGATGTGGGGGAACTCTTTCCATCCTCAATGCCCGAGTCTGAGCTGGAAGTTTTGGTCGAGGTCTCGCTCTCAGATTTTTCGGATTCAAGAAGGACGTCATCGCCCAGTTTGTCAACCAGCTCCTCTGGATCTTGTGGGGGGAGATTATTCCGCGGCAAGGGCACAGGGACCTCCATGACGGAGCCCGGCTGCTCCTCTGTCTGTGTATCTGGCTTGGTCCTGGGTACAGGTATTGGTGTGGTTGGGGAGGGCGTGGTGGGGCTCGGGGTATCCACAGACTGGTCTCCTTCCAAACTGGTCTGACTGGTCTGACATGGCTCCTTACCTGGAGACTGCAGGGACAAGGAGGTGTGAGAAGAGAAGTGTCGTTATGCACCATGTGAAGAATCATTTGATGTTTTAAGGCTTTTAAGAGGTTTTCTTCTTAATGTTTACAACCTATGCTAAAGGAGTGAGTCCTCTGAGTCCTCCACCCTCAGTGATGTAGCCTAAACCTTTGCCGTGGTAGAAATGTAGTAAAACCTGCTTTATCCAGCTGCTTCTCCCTGTGGCTGAGATATACATACTAAAGATAAGATGGCTACTAATTATAACAGAGGTCACAGGAGGGACAGAGAGGGTTTAATCTTGATCTTCAAAATAAAGCAAATTCTTATTTGTTTGTGTTCAAAAGAACCAAACCCACGGCTGCTGCAGGAAAACTCAAACCTCTGTAAACCTCAGTTTACTTAACTTTTCTTTCTGTGTGGTTAATTGAGTTACATTTAAGACATTTTTATTCCTCTAATAATATAGTTTACTACCTGTCAAACTGGGCGAACAAATAAATATCTCTCAACAAAAGCAACTGGGTAAGGCCTGAAGTTATATAACCAAGCTTTTGTATGCCTGGTGAGACAGACTCACAACATATCACAAACACCATCTCATAAAAATCAACAAACATAAATGGATTAAATATTAACGGTATGGTATCTTTAGGTTAACGGGCACAGCTTTCTGTCCCACTGAGCGATTCTGCAACCACTCGAGGTAAAACATCTGACATCTTTACGATCAGGTGCAGCCTCTCTGATGTCTCAGCAAACATTTCTGTCTGGCTCTGGATGATCTACAGGAAGAGATAAAGTGGTAACTGCTTGGCCGGCTTTCATGGTTTTGTGATTGTGTCAAAATGTTGCTTTACGCCCACGATAGTGGCAGCTGGGTGAGAACTGGGATGATTGGACACACCCAACCATTTAAAAGTATTACTATTATTATGAAGTATTATACTGTGCAATATATTTTATGATGAATAAACTAAATTAAATTTGTTTACATTAATTTTTCAGGGAAATCTCCTGACAAGAAAGAAATGATGAGTTTTGATTTCAATAATCAGACGGAGGACAAAACAAAACTGGACATAAAGAAAATAACACCCATGACCGAAACTTTGATTTAATCCAAAGGTCAAGAATATTCATTTAACAAGATGTCTTAAACAGGAAGTGCCAAAATTCCACAGCACTGACTGCCATGATTGCCATGTCTCAAACTTCTCCGTCACGACGTTATACATCTCAATAAATTCAGTGGCCATTATTACTAAGTGTTGACATTCGGAGAGGAAGAGAAAAAACATCCATGCTCAGCACATGAGCAACACATCTGTCTTGTTCCAGCTTCCTGTGAAGCAAGAGTATTTCTAGGATCCTGGACACTTGACGGACCCTGGTGTACAGGAAACCCTCGCTTTTTTATCCAAGGGTCAGTGTATTGCAGCAGAACAATGCGCGACCTTAAATAATTCACTTCCATCGGAGGTTTTGATGTCATAGCGTTTCTATGCAGCGGCGATGTCGAACTCTGCACTTATATTTAAACATGCGGGTGTGGGTGAACACCAGTGTTCCGGTTTCTGTTCCATTGTTTGTGCCGAGGGTAAAACTGCTCTCTCATACCACTTTCTAATTTTATACCCTCTGAGGATTTGTGAATGCAGAACTGACCCTCATTCCTTTGCGCTCTTTGGGGCATGTGCAGGTAAGTGCATGCCTTTGAGTGATTATGTGCAGGAGTTCCAACTTAATTATATTGTCTGGTGACATTAAAGGAAAAGCCCTTTTTAACTCCAAGCTGTCTGTTTTAGCTTTGGACCACACACTCAGAAGAAAAAGGGTCCGAATACGACACATCTTCCCTTTGAGTCAAACACATACTTCTGACCCTGCAGCTTAAAGCCACTAGACCTTTCAGAAAAGCTGCTGGACTGAACATGGGCATGGCCTATTCTCCTTTTAGAAACAAACAATGATGGAGAAGAAAAATAAAAGGGACAGAAATGAAAGGAAAAAAAAGGTTTAGTACCACTGTGAGCTCCATGGCGTCGTCCTCCTCGCCTTCCTCTCTATTGTCCTCTATTTCCTCCATGACCTCAGCCTTGGCCTCGGCCACCAGTTCCCGCAGAGGACGGTTAGACGTCACAGATCTCACAAACGGATGCTGTGGACACAAGGGACAGAAGAGACGGGTGTTGAGGGTAATTATCAATCAAATTTAATGCTTAAATTGAATGATGCACTGCAGAGCATCTTAGTCTCGCTCTCTCTTTGAAGAGGCAAGAACCAGAGGCTGGATGTGAAAGATGAGGAATATATCTGTTGGACACGTTTTCCATTGATCTGAGTATCATTAGGCTTTGAGAATATTGCTTGAGGGATGCTGTAAGTGGAAGGAGGCAATAAAATCTGATACATGTTGGTTTCTGGCATTTCATTATCTTACCATTTTTTATATTTTTATTCTCCTGTCTATCTCATTCAGACTTGCATTTTATCTTGTCTTTTATAAGACACACCAATAATTGTAAATGTAATGAGGTGAAAGCCTTCACTAAAGTTTAATACAAAAGTTAAATAAATAAAATAAATACAATTCTGATGAAAATGTAATATTACATTAGTTCGGCAGGAAGGCTACAGGAGACTTTCACTGCAGGAGAAACTCTACTCTCTGCCACCTGCTGATTCCTGGACAGCTACAACAATACAACAATAGCAGCTTTCCAATGAAGCTCTCCCTATTAATGACACACCAATGTAACTAAAGCATAATACAAACCCCCCCCCCCCCACAATGAAAAACATCTTTAGTCCCACAAAGTCTGAAGAGAAAATGTGTGTGTGCAGAGCAAAGAAAGAAAATAGTAAGTTGAGTGCAAGGAGAATAAAAAGCCAAATTAAAAGTTGAGTGCAGCCGGGACAAAAGACTGGTCATCAATTATTCAGATGCTTTGCACTCCTGTGTAAGATAACTGGAACAGCTGACAAACGGAAAAGGCACCAAGTGATGCTGGTCCACCAAGTGTGTGTGTGTGTGGTTGATCAGTTGTGTGCTGGGTCTTGTCCCCTGCATTAGTGCTCAGCTTTTAACTTCTCCAGTGAAAAACAACAGTCAGCATTTGTCTAATGAGTCCGGTTGTGTAATTGTTGTGCTCAGTGACATCTAACCATTTATTACACCGCAGTGGAAATGCGGATGTTTGCATGACATTGTCAAAGATATCAGCAAATGTTTACGTTGGGGTATCAAGTGAGTGAGTAAGATTCAATGCAAATGGTCTTAATTTTTGATTTATGTTACTCGTAAATGAAAATACTGCCACTCAAGCTTCTCTTCAATTCAACTATCAAACATATGTATAAAATACTACTGAAAAAATTCAAAGTGTGTTTAATTTAACTAAGTGAGGGATGTCTTGCAGAACAGAGAGCAAAAAAGAACATGTGATCACAAAAAGCATCATGGGATTGGAATTTAAAGAACACAAGTTCAGCGACTGATGCAGGAGACGGCCACACTGGTGAATTTGTGTCATTCTTAGTGGTTAGCTGAAATGATCGAGATGCCACAGCCATGCTTCCATTTTCTGAGTCCACGCCAACAGGCTGAGGGATCTGGCATCAGATTGTTAAACCTGTCGTGGCTCAGAGTGACTTGAGGAAATGCTGGGATTTAATGATCTGCATTTTGTGTGATGTTCCACTTGACATTTTTCCTCTGAATTTGTGACGTCTGGAGGAGGGTGTGACAACACAGCTGGTGTTGCAGTAAAGATTTGTTTTAAAATTAAGGTAATAGTTAAGTTGAGGTTACGTTTCGAGCAAGAGTTGGGATTATGCATGTAGTAATTATTTTTAATTCCGGCTCTTATAATCCACAAACCTCACTGGGACTTCTTTCTACAAAAAAATTGTCTCTTTGAAAATTATGCTCTGTGGTTTATCCAGTGAATTATGGCCTTAATTTAAATACTGAAGAAAACTTAACATGGTTATTGTGAGGCAAGTTCATGCTTAGTGGTCTGGGGTAATAAATTACTGGTGATATGATGGACATTGGAGATAATGGTCATAGAAGTCGTAAGTCACAACAATTATGTGCATTATCTAACCCTTCAACACATTTAGTGTAAGGTCACTCAGGGTTTGGCTTAAACATAAAGATATAATTGTTATGGTTCAAGGTGAAGGACTGTGAAGTACAAATATGAATATCTTGCAAAATCACTATAAATCTCGGATTGGAGATAAACCTGCCAAATACTCCCACTGTAAAACTTCCCCTCAGATACTACAGAGAAAAACAACCGGGATGGAAGCTGTGTAAAAAATCCTGACCATGAGCACATGCTGTATGTGGGAGGAGCAGCTACATTCAGTTTAATGACTGCATGGTTTCCCGCCAGCCGCACAGCCTCAGTGACTGACACTGTGTCATGTTGTTGTTGTATACATTCCTTACCACAACACATGAGGCACCCAGAAGGCAAGAGGCACGAGACAGAGGAGGTTGGGAGATGGTGAAAACCAAATTTTCTATAAAAACTTTGTGTCAGACTTCATTTCCTCATTTTACACACACACACACACACACACACACACACACACACACACACACACNACACACACACACACACACACACACACAGAGAGAGGGCTATGATTTATTTTTTGTTTCAACATCTGTTACCACATCTACAGGGAATAACAGGATTACAAAGTCAGATCGAAGATTTTTGTCACATACACTAACTTCCAGTAACCTGACGTCATGCAGAGAAATATTTAATGCCCTCGTTATCACAGCTATCTGCAGTGAATGCTATCTGACAGCTGTTAGGCGCAGCAGGCATGATAACCATCTAAAACTTCCAGCACACCACCAAAAGACTGGACCGCGCCTGTCTCCCCCCCCCCCCCGAGCCCCACCCCACTGGAGCACACATGCAGAATTCCCAGAGGGCCCGGGTCTCGGGATTTTCATCTCTGCCTCCCTGCAATTGGCCAGAGGTGACGAGCTCGTGGTAAATCCAGGCACGCCATTGGCTGCGGAGTGGGAATGTAAATAGCTGGCATTCCCTCGGCTGCGGGATGCAGACAGGAAACCGTGGCTCTGAATTTTAATAACCACTGCTCTCCTGCTTTAATCCACACCCTTCTTTCCCTCTCCCTCTCTCTCTCTCATTCTTCTCACTTGAGATTTGGGATTTTGAGAAACAGTAGTGAAAACACATCCTCAAATCGTTACAGCCAGGAGAACTGTCATCGATGTCTATTTTGCAATATCTCCAGTGCCAAAACTTTTCTTTACCATAAACAGCTTTACCTTCCTTTAACTTTTTATGCCATCCTACTCCCGTGCAGGCTCCATTTCTTGCCGCCTCCACACCTTCTATCCCTCTCCCACTCACATGCCGGGGGAGGGGGGCTCACTCCCCTGCCATAGATCACTCAATTCACTTCTTAATATAGAAGATTAAATGGCTCCATATATGTGTGTCGGTGCAAGATAAGGACAGAGCGAGGACAATGCTCCCTCATACATCAGAGTTCAGCACTGTGTAAAATACAGCAGGTTATATTTGTCTACCTACCTCCAGGAGTGGTGCTGCGGTCGGACGAGTCTCTGGGTTTTTATCCAAACATTTCTTCAGGAAATCTTTAAACTCCGGCGACCTTGAATAACGCAAGAAACAGTATTAGATCCAAAACAGGAGTAATGAAGAAAGAGGGGAGGTTGGGAGGGAACAAAGGAACATTTCCAGATTAGTGCATGTCGATCATCCTTGTGTGCAACTGTGCAGCTTTCAGCAGGGACGATGAGTCAGCTCCACATCCCCACATCTCTTTTCAACACCTGACAACTTCATTCTTGTAGGACTGAATTTTTAGCTGTTGAACAATCAGACTCAAGAGGCTGATACGGAAAAGTCATAGTTTGGTCATAGTTCACCCACGGAGTCAAGATTACAGTAAATGACATGGTGAAATCTCAAAAATGTTAATTCAGATTTGTTTTCAGTGCAGCACCCTCACCATTTGTGTGGCTGCTCCAGGGTTGGAGGCTCCGACTTGGCGATCTTCAACAGGACCCTCATGGGGTTGAGCTCGTGGTGGGGGGGTTCAATCTGGGCGAGCTCGATCAGCGTGATTCCCAGAGACCAGATATCGGCTTTGTAGTCGTACGGAGCGTCCTTCATGGTCTCACACATGACCACCTCTGGGGCCATCCTGAGAAAAAAAACACGACAGGGTGTGTGTAGCTCTCGTTTCCATTTGACTTCAACCTCAGTGCCAACCAGATGTGTGATTAAACTGTCTGAATGTTTCTGGTCATAAAAACAGTCAAAGCAGCAGTTGTGACTAAATGATGTCTGTGCTGGGTTTTATCTTTGATTTTGATTATTTACTCTCTCTTTTATTTTTGCCCATATCAACATCAAGCACACTTTTCCAGCCTGTGTGTGTGCGGCTCTCTCACAACTCTAATCTGAGCTCTTGTATTTGTTCAAGTGCAAAGAAACGAATGTTTGCTCCCCCATTTCTTGTCGACTTTGCTTATCAACTGGAGGGTTTCAGGTTTTCATGGAGCTGGGAGGGTATTTCTGATGGATGATAACCTGTTCTGGTGAATGGTTAACAGGTCATATTCACATAGGAGAGAGAGAACTATAGGACAAGGTTCACTGTGCAGACTTCAGAGAGGATGTTTCCAACTGGTTCAGGTAAAGAGACGACTGCTGTGACAACAATGGAGGATTAAAGCAGCAGCGTGAGCATGAGTATGAAGTGTGTACACATAACAATATGCTTTATCAACAAGGAATATTCCACAGCTTATATATGTGAGGATGGTGAACGGCTTCGTGTATGGTTCATATCAAGGTAAAGGGAACAGAGTTGTACTCACCAGTATGGTGTTCCAATGAATGAATCTCTTCTTTGTAAGGTTTTGGTGTTTTTTGCAGACACACCAAAATCAGCTGCAAAAATAAAGACAGAATAATATGAGATATGTTGGAAGACCCTCCCCAAATGCCTCTTTATTAGACGACCCATGAAATTCTAATGGGCAGAGTCACAAAGCCAGAATTATCGTATCCCCTAAAACGAGCTACCGCCTTTTCCCTGACATGACCCTCACATTACAGGACTGTTTTCACTTTGGCTGAACATGCTTTTACTCTGTGAGTAAGAACTTTATGAGAGGTGGTATGTCCAGCGTTGAGGAGTGTCTGGCAGAGTCCCGGGGATTTTACTCACAAGGCAGCGAGACTGTCGTGGTTTTGCAAACTACAATTCAGATATCCTCGGCTTCCCAGTCAAACATATCATTTGGACTGTTGCGGTCGAAAGATTCTAGAATTTTTACTTCTTACAAAAGACAAAAACTGTAGTACAGACTGGATTGAATACGAGTTCACACATTTACATCCTCTGTTTTTTAGCAAAATGAAAAGGCTGAAACCACAGGGCTCCTTCCCCTTCTGCTCTTAAATCTGCTGCTCTCACTGGGTTTAACCTACAATCAAATTCCCTTAAAACACAATTATCAAGGGTGTGTTTCTCAATGAGCACTGTCATAATGAGACACAAACAATTCTACACTAAAAAACTATAAAGACTCTCATAATACATCAGAAGGAACTAATCGAGTGTAATATAAAGGGTGTTTTAAAGGGGAAACCCAACAGATTCAAGAAGGGAAATAATGTCATGTAGTCGTGGCTGGAATTCAGTGTTTGGTTTGGTGTCACTTTCCTGAACATACTGTACCTAGAGATCAACAGTCTCTGAAGACTTGAATAAACATGAACCAACAGGTTTACAGCGAGCTGCACTGAATGGGAGAACATAATGTTTGATGCCGTTCAGCCCAGGCGGAGGGAATGCACAACGCGATGAGTGGCCACAAAGACAGTTAATTACTCCCTTGTTTGAATTAACATGTAGTTTGAGAAGTTTGGAGACTGCAAATGAGTCAGTGTTATGCTAAATGAGTATAAAGGGGCAACGCCCAGTAATTATATTGAGCTGTGGCGTCTCAGGGAAAAATGTACAGCAGCGGAAATACAAGTTGAGCTCGGGAAGCACAGTGGTTGACAAGTTGTGATAGTTTAAAAGAAAAGATAGAAAGTGAAGAGAATTAATTGAAGAAGTTTTAATGTAACCATAAAGCAATAAACCATTTTAAATCAACACAAACTACACAAAAGTGCAGCTAGTTCCACAAATTATTAATACCTGGCTCATTGAGTTACACTCTACTCTGTGTTTGTGGTTTGTTGGTCATGCAAAGTGACAGAGAGCCAAAGAGACTAAAGACAAATAAACATCATACAAGTAAAAGTATATTTGTGTTTTTTGTTTCAAGTTCTATGTGTGAGGATCCAAATGTCCCGCAGCTATTTAGACAGATCCAAAACCTCAGCTGTGCCATGTGAAGAATGTGGAGAACTCTTCAAAGCCAATAAATGAAAATATGCCAACTGTGTGTGTGTGTGTGTGTGTGTGTGTGAGACAAAGGAACAACAGACTATAGGTCAGATTTTAATACCTCCACCAAGTAGGTCGTATTTTCAACCCTGTCCATTTGTCAGATAGATTATGAATAGAGTACCACAAAAAATAATGGAAGAATGTGGGTCAGAGAAGAACCCATTACATTTTGGTGCTGATCCAAATCGGGGGGGAAGAACCAGGATTTTTATAAATCATGGTGAGATGGGGCATTTTTCCACATTTTTCTCAGGCATATTTAGGGGATTGATATTCATGAGTGGGACTGTTGTTGGAAGTGTGCACTCTGCTGAATGGTTCATTTCTCAACATGTAGATTAAACTGTACAAAACTGAAATGTTTCTATTTTAAATGATTGTCATCAGATGCTAAAAAAAAGGGAAAATATTGTTGTCCTCTAGGTTAACTCCAAATTGGATGAAGTTCTAAGCACACTGTGGTGTTTTTCGGACTCTCTGCACCCATTAAAGCATTACTTTACCTTTAGTTAGTGTCCCCTACGTACATAAAACTACTTCAAACCAGAAACGGTTTAAAGCAAAATGATTGAAGCTCTCACCAAGCTTGATGTCCCCGTCCAGCATGAGGAGGATGTTGCCAGCCTTCAGGTCTCTGTGGATAATCTTCATACTGTGCAGATAAACCAGAGCCTCCAACATCTGACGACAAACCACCTTAATCTGCGGCTCCGTCAGACAACGATCCAGCTCTGATAAAGGAGAGAGACGACAGAGAGGTTAGACACGAGGTAGGAGAGAGGGATGGAAACAAGAGGGGTGAAATTTACACAATCATTATTTAGTGCACATACAAGCAGGGCAAAACTATGGCTGAGGACCCGTCGAGCCCCACAAGAGAAAAACAGAAACAGGTAAACCTAAACCTGGATAAGTAATCCCAGATCAGAGAAGCTTTCACACTCAGTCCTGCCCTAAAGACTTTATTCTCCGGTGTCTGTGTTTGGTTAGCTGCAGCGGGAAGCAGACAGTTATGAGGATGTGGATTACGCAGTGAAAACACACCAGGGGGATTTCCCACACAGGAGGACTCCACTCTGTCCAACTGCTTTCTAAAGTTTTCAGGGCCTGGATGGTGCATCTCTACGTTGTCTCAAGGTCACTGCTGAAGGTGTAGGTGTCACAGCAGTGGAGAAGGTGACGGGGAGGATGGTGGAGATCTTTTAGAGACACAGAGAAGGCAAAAACAGAAAGAGACACTGGGGCTTACCGAGCATTGTGGCATCGACAGCACCTCCAGGGCAGAACTCGATCATGATCTGGGAAAAGAGAGACGAGGGTTTTAACTTGACCCAGTATATTATATGTTGAGTATTCAGCAAACAGAGTTGTGTGAATAGAAACAATAGATTTACTTCACTTTTCATTATTAACAATTAGTCTTTATCAAGATTGCTTTTTTGTTGAGATCTTCTTCAACTCATCACTTTCACAACCATCAATATTTGAATCTCCTGATATTCTATTAATGAACTGATTATGATTCCATGATAAGAAATGTTAGGCACTGAAGGGTTTGATTTTCGGATTGAGAGCAATTCCAGAAAACCTACTCACAATGTGAGTAATATTTCCTATAGTGACGGATAAACTTTGACCTAAAGTTACTTTGGACTCATGAAAGCATTTCCCATGCTGATTATTATTTAAATATGTTTTCCATAGAGGATTGCATTTAGAGGAAGCTCAGAAAGTGTTTCTCACAGCACTGTAAAACACTGTATTAATACCCAACACTAGCAGCGGATAGAGAATCAAGATTTCACAAAGAGGTAAAATCTATTATTTTCTTTTTATCAGCTGTTTTCTTATTGTTATGAATTATTTTTGTCTGAGCGTATACGCAGCCTGCTCTGCTGAGTGTTATGTTCTGTGTTTGTCTTCATCAAACTCTGTCTGGTTAAAGAACCACACCGACAAACAGTCAAGCTGTGTACGCACTTCCTTTCCATTCAAAATATTTAGTAACAGATTAGCAGTGAAGTACACACACACACACACGCACACACGCACACACGCACACACAGATTCTTAGAGTTCGCTCCCTAAATGGTATCTTGTTGGATGACAGAACTTCCAATAATCACTTTTCATTTTCTCTCCTTACATAGTCAGTCTCTTGCTAACACACACATTTTTCATTCAAGTGGGGCCAAAGAAAAAATTTGTATTAATCCTGTGTAGAGCAGCTGAGGCCTTGTACAATCATTCCATACAATGAAATGTTACATTTCTTATGATTCATTGATGGTCAAAGATCAGTCATAGGTGTTGTCCTGCATACCTCATGATCTCATTCTTATTTTGTCCCTGCGTACTGATGACAGCACTGTCATGTGCTGGACAGGGCGTGGAGTTTCAGTCCACACAATGAATCACGAGCACAAAAGGTGCACGGACCAACGCAAGAAGCTATGCATACCACCAAGCACACACAGTCACATAGATACACAGATACACACACACACTTTGTTTTACCTGGAACTGCATGCCAACGTTGACATTCCTCCTTTTCTGGTTTTCCACAATGTTCTTTTGTGAACGTGTTACAGAGGATGATTCCCTTTGTCATGGTACAAATCTTGTATGCAAATCTCGTCTGCTAATTTGATTTATCGGGTCGATAAGAAACAAGAATTTGTCGTACAGGTTAAAGGTAAGTTTTTCAACTCATGTAAAGTGTCTTTGAGCATTGTTAAAAGTGCTATATTAATGAAACACTTAGCATTCTTATTTTTCATTACTATTATAATGATGATTATTATAATTATAAAGTCTGTCAGAGTTTGTCCTGACGCTGATGCCTGAGGCAAAAGGTTTTCATCGGTGTCTCATTCACTCTTCCTGCCTGAGAGAAGTTTCGTTGACGTGTTGTACTGTAGTGAGCAATGTGCCATAACTGGTCGGGCTGGTTGCATAGCATACGCACCGTGCGCTCCTCCGCACGTTCATTATGACTTAGCTCGTCTAAAGAATCTAAAAGCCTGTTTGCAGACCTGCTTCAGAACTGCAGTCGATCCTGGATTAAGAATTACAACCTTTAAAACATGAATCACACTCCTGCCATTCAATGAACACGACTAATGCACCCGTGACCTGTGTTTTTTTTCTGAGGTGGCTATGAGACAGTGCCAGCAGGGACACAATGCTTTTATCGAGGGTTTGCTGATAGATCAAACGTCACCTAGCAACCATAGACTGTTTTCTTATGTAGACCCCACTGTTCACAAATAGTTTAAAATAATACATTTGACTGTTTGTCTCTGTGTCTAAAAACACTGACCAGCAGGACTTTACAACAAGAGCCCACTCGCCTCTTTCTACTTTGTCAAATTAAAAGCTCGTGAAAAGAAGGGCTGGAAACATAATAGGCAAACACACACAGATTATGAGGAACAACATCAGCGGCACTATCCCATCACAGAGCTGTGATCATTTTCAAACTGGTTTTCTCCTCCATGAGATCAAAGTGCTTTAACGGGTGAAACCACACAATCTTAAGTCTATAAACTGACAACAGTTTAGTGTGGTTAAGTTGTAGTTAAGTTGTAGTTTGGGGTCAGATGAGATACCTCCATCCATCCATCCATCCATCAATCAGATCAGGTCACAGTGTTCCAGACATCCCACTCCCCATCTACACTTTCCAGCTCCTCCTGGTAGACCCTGAGGCGTTCCAGAGCCAGATGGGATATGTAATCTTTCAAGCATGTATCTGAGTCTATCCCGGGCTCTCCACCCAGATCTGAGACGAGGCCAGAACCATCTCAAATGGCACCTTTCGATATTCCCGTACTCTTATCCGATCTCTACGGCTGATTGTTATTCACTACCTCTTCATGAGACATTTCTGCTGGATCATTTCTGCTGGACCTCTACGTTCAGTCGTTTCATGTCACCTACAGGCCACCGTACGTGAAGGGAGCAGGAGTTTAGAGGATAGAGGAGACGTCTGCAGAACAAGTTTTACTGTTGGTGATTCAATTCCTGCTGAGGTGATCCATTGGTCTTTATAACTTAATAAAACATGTGTGGATTTAATTTATATATTCTTTGGAGAATTTACCTTTCATTCTAACACAGCAGGGGGAAGTGGGATTTATTGGTGCTCAAAACACAACTTAGATTTATTTAAAAAATCAAAATAAATCAACAGTACTATCTGTTTCCAGAATCATTTTACTTGCTCCAGTCAATAAATCAACAAGCTGCACTGTCAACAGTTTTCATGGGAACTCCGATCGATGACATCACTCCCATGAAAACTGCTGAGAGGTGAGTACTGATGTGATATTTTACCTTCACAGTATTAGTTTGGAAGCATACATCTAGATCTCAGCACAAAAATGAAACCTAAACTTTCTGCATGACTAGATTTCACTGGAGGCTCCTCTGTAGTCATTTATGTCCTCCTGCTTTATAGTCCTACTTTCTTCCCCATTTCTTTATCTTTCTGTTCGTTCCTCTCATCATGCTGATGTCAGCGGTCCCATCCCCATGTTAAAGGCCCTCTTTTTCTCACGCTGCCAAGCCCGACTGACTCACAAGCCCCAAGAACAGATTGTTGCTAAAAGGGAACAAACAACCCTTCTCTCTCTCTCTCTGTCTCATTCTTCCTATATCCCTCTCTTATGCAGTAGAAAGCAGAACGAGTGGGTCAGCGCTGGAATGCATCTTCCTCACCCCTGCCTAGTCCACCCAACCAGAGGTTACTGGAGCCTGCTGCTGACTGCTGGGCTAACTATTAATGAACACACACACACACACACACACACACACACACACACACGTTTCCAAATTTGTGTATAGATATATATTTCTTCATTTTGGCCCCAAGTTTTAACACAAATCCAGAAAAATATAATTTAAAGACTGAGGATAAATGTGTTGCAGAATGCATTTGTGAAGAAAAAGCCAGCCTCACGCACGCACACACACACACACAGGAAGCATGAGGTTTGAATGCTGCAAACTGGGACGTTTGTACAACTGGCTCATCAGCACAAACTAACAGTCTGTGTGTGTGTGTGTGTGTGTGTGTGTGTGTGTGTGTGTGTGTGTGACATTTGTCCTACACTTCATAATGTTAATGTTTCTGGAGTATGTCGGCAGCGTACGGCAAACTCAAGGAACACTATGGATACAGATGATCCTCTGCCTCATTGGTCACCGTTTTCTCTGATATAAAGACAAATATCAAGCAGCTGTGGAGACATGTGAGATGATCTGTGTTTGACGGACTTGTTTTTTAACTTTACATGAGTTTGTTTTGCTGTAAATAGACAAATTTCTCGTCGGAAGCTGCTCAAAGAGCGTTAGCTTCCAGGACTAGTGTTACCAGGGGAACCGTACATCATCAAATCAACCAGGCCTGAAATCTTACAGATGACAACTTGAATGATGAATAGTTGAAAACAGAAAACAGTCCATCACTGTCAAAACATGACTGGACTCATCATTTCTTAAATACTGTATATTGCTGTGTTGTTTCTAATTTCTACATGTTTACAGAAACACCATAAGCAGAGGAGTAAAAGCCAAAAAAAAGACAACTATCTTTAGTCTTGACTCTGCCTTGTAATTCCTCACATGTTGAAGGTTGTGCCCCAGCATGAGGTCACTGTTATTTGTCTTGGCCTGACAGAGTGGGAGATTACAGAGGGAGTTGAAAAGTTTACACTTGACCCGGTGAGCGAGTGCGGAGAGGAAAAATAACTCACGAGCCGAAAACGCTGAAAGTGAAATTGATCTCCCGTTTTCGCAGCGACGTCGGGGTGAGGCTTGTGTTACCTCTGATACATTATGTCACCCTAGGGGTCTTTTGGCATTTTTTGCAATCCACTTGTCTCTTCTTTATTTTCCAACAGAGCTTTCATATGCTGGAGGAATATACTCCAGATGATTAAAAAAAGGTGAAACAGTTTGTTTTACTACTTCCCTGCTGATCTGTCATTTTTGTGTGATGGGGATGAAAACGGACAGAAACTCAACACAGTGAAAACAAAACATCTTTTGAGGATGTTAACAGTGTGGACAGCAGATAAGGTGCCTCTGGTACAATGCGCACCAGTCCTATACAACAGCTGCCCTGATATCTGTGTTCCCAGGCAGCAGCATACAGTACGTTCATTTAAACTAACTGGCTGAGCTCTATACAAAATTATAAACTATTTGCTAAACCCAGTATGTCTATTTGTTTTATATTTATTTTTTTCTGTGTGCAAACACTGATATGGAGTTCATTATGAAGACACTCATTTAAAGAGGAAGGATGGAAGGAGTGAAAGGATGTTTTGAAGCTGCATGGCCCTAACCAGACGCCTGTGTGTCACGTACCCACAGCTTGTTTTCATGGTAAAAGGCATCAAGCAGCTTGACAATGTATTGGTGGTCACATTTAGCCAGGATGTCGATCTCCACGATGTAGTCCTCCAGCTCTTCTTCAGATTTTGTCTCAATCACTTTGGCTGCGGCCAGAGCGCCTGTCTCTTTGTTCCTGGCCTGAAAGTCAGAGAAATAAAACAATTAGTTCATAATGCCTGAGTCACGGCAGACCTCACGATGGATTCTTGCATTTTTCTTTTTTAAGTGTTCAACAGCAAAAGCAAGTAAACACTGTTTCTTTCACCAGAGAAACTGATCCTTTAAACTCAAGAGTTTCATTTCTCCAGAGAGAAATTTTTTTTTAAACCCCAACAGAAAATAGTGTGAACAGATACAGGGTGTTGGCTCTGTTATATAAAAAGGAAGAAAAACTGTCACGCTTTACCAAACATTCTTTATATATATATATTCTAGAATAAAGGTGTAGCACGCAAAACTCAATCTCTAGACAATACCGACATTCACTGCTAAGATCTTGCCACTTTCTACCTGATGACATCCCCTAACTTTGCTTTCACAACAAGGGAAATGGAATAACCACAAAACCCATTAGCTGTCGGTGTACCCAGACTAACACACGCACACACACACACATATAGAAATAATAGTCAACTCTTGAGAAATTAATTGAATCAAATGTAAACTTATTCATTATCTTTCTGGAGAGCATCAAAACACCAAAGCCGTACAGTGACTCAGAGTGATTACACACCAAGTGTTCATCCTTGTGTAAGAGTCTCAGTGTTGTGTGAGTGTTGACTGAAGGGATGTTGTGGCTAAACACAACATTAATGTGTGCCTGCAGTCAGAGCCACAGGTTCACTGCCATGATTGTAAGAGCCTGAGCGGAGATGTGCCAGGACTTGAAATAGACTCAAAAACAGAGTTCAATGGTTTGTGATTCATGTTGCACACATTGTGAAAAACCTCCAAGTGTCTAAGGTCACCTCTGAAAAAACAGTTTCACCAACAACCTCTTTAACTGAAGCATACAGTAACGGGCAGAGTGTGAAGGCGTGAAAAATGGTGCATGGATGAGAACGTCATGGGGAGAATTTCTGCATATTTCTGTGTGCGTGTGCGCGTGCACGTGTCGACCCAGTGACCTGCAGAGACTCGACAGACTAAACAGCCTGGTGGGGTCTGATGCCTCCGCGCTTTGCAGGGGCTGTGGGAAAACATCTGAATAAACAGAGCAGGCTCCCAGCAGCACACACTCTTTGACTCATCTCAGCACACCGTGACTGCGCGTGTGTGTCCGAGCATGTTTGTCAAACAGAGGTTCTGGAGAAGCCACAGTGGAGTAACCCACAGTGTGAGTCAACAGGACGTCTCCTCCTGCCATCAAACCATCAGTCGCTGGGTTGATAAGCCTCCACAGTAAACAATGAGACACCAGACACTTTTACTCCTCTGCTAACATCTCAGTTCTCTGCTCTCTCGCTCCCCACCCTGCAGCTGCACCGTCAGCCTCCACAAACTCACTGTCCGGGGACTGAATACTGAAGTACCGCATGTGCATCTGTTGATATACTCACACGGTAAAGTATATGCATCTGTGGCCTTTTCATGAAATGGTGAAGTTTGCCTGTATATGAACATTTTTAGATTTAGACCATTGGTTGAAGAATGGTTTAGGCACAGTAAGACGATAATTTTGACCATCACTTTCCACCACTGTTTCGTGTCTGTGTCTGTCTGTTAGCAGAATTGCACAAAAACTAAACGGATCACCACAAAACTTGGGGGAAAGATGTGGTACGGCTCGGAAAAGAACCCACAAAATGTTGGTGCAGATCCAGATCAGGAGGAAAGATCCACTTCACTTTCTTTAACATTGTGAGGTAGGCTGGGTGTTTTTAAGATTTTTGATGAATCCGCAAGCAATGATTTGTCAGGTGGGGAAAAAAACCCAGATGTGCCCCAGATGCTTCTTTTTTCCATGATGACAGTGACATCAATTAGGCACAAATACACAAGTAAACGAGTCACAGACAGTTGCAAGTTTGAGACTTTTGTGCTGTTTTGTAGCTTCAACTTGTCAACAGCTAACTCCCTGAACCAGCTGTACACACACAAATACACACAAATACACACACACACACACACACACACACACACACACACACACCTTCATATCTCAGTGGGAACAAGGCTAAGGAATGTGCCTCTGGCCTTCAGATGGTTGGGGGGAGTGGACAAAGTGGGTAAGATTGAGCCTTGTGCATTTATGTGGTTGCTTTTTGCATGATCCAGAGGAATGCATTACATCACAGAGGCTCCTCAAGTGTAGTGTGTCTGTTTATGTGTGTGTCTTACCAACTGTACACAGTGCACAGAGAGGAACTTACACTGAAACGCCTCAGTGTATCTCACACGGAACTTTACTTGACCTTCTACAAGTTAGCGTGTCATTGTGTGTGTGTGGATGTTTACAGAGTGTGTTCGGGTTTGAAACTAGAGAGAGGAACAAGTTAAAAACTGCAGAATGACACATCCTCAATAATACAACAATCTCATCTTAACACCATATCAGAGGGATAATGTGTTTTTATGACTGTAATGTAATAGGGTGCTGTAAACTTCAGCAGCTTTAACTGAGTTATAGAGTGAATGAGTGGATGACACATGTTGGCATCCAGGCTTTGGGCTGCTAACAACATGTTTACAGGAAAATCGGAATGACAACAAAACAAAAGAAAAACAGAGATGCCGGATGTCAGAGTTGTACAGAAAACAGTCTAAATCATGACATAACAACGGTACACAACCACAGGACCGAGCGAGGATAAGTCTGCACGCTGTAGCTGTAGCCATCCCAAGAGAAAAACAACGCTGCACTGTTTCTAACCCACTGACTCTTCACTCTCGCTCAGCTCTCCTCCAGAGGAGAACAACAGTCTCCGGCTTTGTTTGGGTCTGGTTTCCATGGAGAGCAGGAGGACGTGTTTCTGCTCCGTACCACAGCTCGTTTCACCAGATCTCTCCCCGCATGGGTGTTTTTGCCCCCCCCTCCGGTTCATTAGTGACTTGGCTGTGTAGTTTAAGTTTAAAAGGATCACCTGATCACTGGACCCTCACCTGGCAGAAACATCTTTAAGACCTAGTATTTAATATTTGAATGTACTTCAGACTTTTTTAGACCCTCGTGGAATTAATCCCTTCTCAGTAGCACATGTTTCCGTCTTTACTCTCCTGCCTCAGTCATTGTCAGCCAAGCTGTACATCTTTTGTCCCCCCACCTATTTTGTCTGTCATCCCTTCCTGTTCCCCCCCCCCCCTCGTCTGTCGTGTAAACTCATCCATCTGTTTTCAGTAGCCGACTGTCTGAAGGCCACAGTGACAGAGGAGGACGCCTGCTGCTGCTCAACAAAAGATTTAGAGAAAGCTGGAAAAGCAGATGTTAATGACACATTACAATACAAACCCACTGTATGCACTGGCAGAGTAAACACACACCTACTACAGCACATTCCCAGTATCATGTGTGTCACTTTAGTAATTTACACAATCATTTCAAAATTAATCAGGCTGGGAATATTAATTTGTAACCGTTGACTCAATTTAAATCTGACTTCTGGATCACTCTCAAAATGCAAGTGACAACTTCAGTATACATACATATATATATATGTATACATACATATATATATATGTATATATATATATATATATATATATATATATATATATATATATATATATATTTATAATATTGTTTATATTTTCCCCATCAGCCTTTTAACATTACTTTAATATTATAACTCAATTAAGGAGGTTTTTCAACTGATTACTTCCAGTGTCAATGGACCACAATGACCTTTTGTAACCAATAACACACGGAGGACTTTCCCTGGGGTCGCTCACCTCCAGGTTGAATGAACATACCAAATGCATTTTCCGCTTGCATAGAGTGTTGCAGTCTCTACAAACACACACAACCACCGACAGGGGAATGTGTGTAGGTTGGACCTTTGCTCCCTCATAAAACCTGTAAAACCTACAGCTCCTGCACAACCACAGCAGCTAATAAACCTCTCCTCTGACAGCAGACGACTGCGGAACTGATGATCTGTCACTCAGATGAACAAAGTGCACCAGCAAACAGCGACAAGAAAGCTGTTTGCTGAGTATAAGTTTTAAAAAAAGAAAGTTGTTTTATTACATAATTGTTTTATAAAAGTATCAAGGTGTGGAGAGCCACTGAAAACTGATTTCTCTTTGTCAAGATTTCAAAACAACAATAAAGATGAGATTTTTAAAGAATCAAAACATTGATTCAGGAAACAGCCAAATACATCAGATTTCAAAATTTCAATTTTCTGATCAAATTTTAATCAGTTTGCGATTAACCACGATGTCACACAACAATAGTTTTCATAGCATATCAGAAGGATAATTTGTTTTTGTGCCACTAACATAATGGGATGCTACAAATTCTGCTCTTTCAACAGCTTAAACTACGAAGTGGCTGCAAAACTATTGCCACAAATGAATTTCAACTCTGCAGAGGACCTTTAATTTGAACAGGAAGTGGAGTCACGTGGTGAAACCCAGCCGCGGTGACACAAATCTTGAAAACACAAGCATCACATTTTGGTTGACCCGCATCATCAGGGCCAGCCCCACACGCGCTTCTGTCCATTACAGAGGAAGTGACATGAGCTACATCATTGGTCACAGTCGGTTTCAAAATCATTTGGTGCAGTTACATCTTGAGAGGATGAGTGACCAGCCTCTTCTGGTCGCTCCAGTATAATCTCAGTTAAAGCTAAAGTTAAAACTATTGGTGTCCGAGTGAAAAGTGACTGAAAATCTGTTTCAATAATACAAATTTTATTAAAGATCTAAACTTAAAATCTAATCTTGTAACAAACTACAACATTAAATAAAGAAAAAAAGAAGTTATACACGTATTTGTAGCTTATCCAGAAAATGCTTATGAGGTCAAAACGAAGAGAGGGCCTCAAAATGAAAACAAGAATGAAAATGAAGAATCTTCTTCTTTATCAACTCAGCAGCAAAATCTTTCTTCTTTAACAAACAATCCACCCACTCGCTGGATGAAAGTTATGCATCGTCATCACTGGGTGTGAAGCACATGATGGAGCAAAGCTCAAAGTTAACAGCCCTCACTGAGGATGCATAGGCTACTTTCCAGATGTGCAGGTTTTGATCAACACTGCAAAATGTTCAAGATTCAGAACTTGACGACTCCCGGCATGCAGAGCACACACCCATTCAGCACGGCTGTTATCAGTCACCATGCACCCAGCTGCCCCCTGAGATTAGACTCACAAACCTCTAGATGACGAGGGTGTCACTAAAAGCATGTGTGTTTGTGGTGCACTTCACGCCAACCTTGTGGCTTTCCTTCGCAAAGAGGATGTTGCAACCTACACCGCCCCTCCCCCTATACCGATGACACCCAACTCACTTTGCTTTCACTTGACTGAAGAGGATAATCGTGTTTGGAGTCATTTCAACATAAGCTTTTTACTCGTTGCACCATCTGTCATTGTGAGACAATCTAAACTAGACCAGTGCAACACTTTTCCTGTTTTCAGGTTTCCCCAGAACATCTGGCCCATTAAATGGCCCCAATTATTCAAACCTGATGTGCACAAGGAAATGTTCAAAAAGCAAATGGTCTTTTTTCTAAACTCAACCCAGAGACAACTAGGCATCGAATCCATGAAGTCCAACCTGGCAAATAATGCTATCACAAGAAAACTCAATACACAACTGTACAGAGTCTATCTAACCTCTAGTTCTTTCCTTTCCTAACAGAGTATCTAAAGTTGTTTTTTACAAACCAACTAATTTCTCTTCACAAAGCCAAAATAATTCAAAGTCTGAAAGACTATGTGCAAAGTAGACACTTTTACAAATAAACCTTAGTGTTGTGCATGAAGACAAAAAGGCAGGTGATGACACATAATCCCTCGAACACTGTTAAAGTCCAGGGTTAGAGCACATCTTTCACATCACAGGCCAACAGAGAGACAGATGCACCATGTTTCCATCCCTCAATGGGAGAGGGCCAGAGTGTAACCCTGCAGAGACGCGTGTGTCTATGGAAACATTTCACCGGCGGCAGCAGCAGGGCAATGTGCTCAGCGGCACGCAGCTCATTAATAAGTGAAGGGAACCATACAATTTCGGTTTCATGCTTCAGCTGCTGCAGACACACACACACACACACCGAACACACACTCAAACTTTCTGCAACAAGTGCAAGCATGCATGGTCAGACAGATAAAAAAAACAACATCCACATTCTCAAGTGATGTGGTTTGTCTCAGGATGAGCACTGTACCGACAAACAAAGATGAGGAGATATTTATGAATCACAACAACAATGATTAAATGATTAAACTGAAGAAATGTTATGGCCAAACTCCAGCAGGCTCTAGGAAAGTTTTTAAAAAGTTCATTGAGAATTGATCTATTGTTGAAACTGGAAATCAACAAGTGCTTGATATGTTCATTGAACCAGGTTCTTGTGTGAAGCAGCAGATCTCAAACGTGCCCTGAAACAATCAGAACACCAGCATAAAGTAAGAAAAACTCCAGACAACTCAGTGTTAGTCACTTCTGTGTTTTAACTACTGTGTGACACCGGAGGTACTGTTGCCTTATGACACAGAAAACTTGAGATGTAAACAACAGCCTGAAGTCTGTGTGCATGTGTTTCCGTAGACTATGCAGCCACATTTAAAAATGAATACTCCACAATTATTCTTTTAAAATCAGCTGACAAGTTGAAATGTTGAGAATGTTTATTTTCTGAAAACTAGTTAATAAACTTTTTAACAGAATTGTGGGTGAAAATTCCAACTAAGAAGGTTAATTAAGAGCCAAACTGCGCTCAACAGTTTAAGTCTTTACGAAGTTGGAAGTGAAGTTAATGAAGATTTGAATGTTTGCACTTGACCCTTAAAAAATTAGACTGAGGTGCAGCAGTTCAATTTTGTGAAGCGGTTCCTTTCCATCTTTTTAATCACTTTGTGTCTCCTCAACTTGATCTAAATCAGATGCATGTACAGAGCTCTGCAAATAGAGAAGAACGTTTTTGATGAGTGACGGATAATATTGCATTTTAATGCAACCCCTTCTTCCACAGTGTCCCTGCAGTATAAACACACGGCTTGATTTTCCCTCAATGATCTGCTTACGCAACAAAGTGAGTGCTTATTCCCTCAGTGGTGCCATTAACCTTTACAGAGTGTGTGTGACAGGAGCACTCTGTACCCTCAGCCGACGCTGTGCCATTTAAGGGCTGTGCTTCATCTCGAAGAGACAGATGAAAACAAGTGTGCACGTAATAAGAATTCAAAGTGTGTTCTTATGAAGAGACAATCTTTTTGTGCCGTCTGTAACAACAGCTTTTTTATTACCTCTGCTTCTGATGGTCTGAAAAGCAGCTGTGACAGAGATAATGGGGCCTCCTCCTCCTTCCACGCCTCCTCTATCAAAGACTAACAATGGAAAACATGCACGATTCATCACTAGAGGCCTTCCCCTCCCACGGACGAGCTGATTATTCTAAATTTTGGGAGCTGTGAGAGGAAGTCGTCCCCCTGACTTAAGTCCCACCATTTCCTCCCTCGGCCCTCTGCTCCCACTCTGCCTCCCTCCCCTGCGTCTGACAGCTGCAGGTGCCGAGCCGTCCTCCTGCAGCCCACTTAAGGAGACGACACAGAAGCCAAAGCCAAGACATTTGTATACGAGAGGGCAGACACAGTTTGTAACACACGTTACAGTGCAGAAGGACGGGCAGTTATTCAAGTGGAATGACTCTCAAACACGCCCAATCACATGTGCCTGAGTTTGGCTTGAGTTTGAGTTTTGGAGCCAACTGCTCCCCTGCATTGAAAAATTAAATTGTGTGTGTTTAAACGTATTAAAGGTTTTCTTCACACTTTTTTTCTTTCACCTAGTGTTTACTCAGTCCCACAATCGTCTTCTTGGAAGGACAGTAAAAGCATCTTTTTGTTTTCATGGTCGCTCCATGCTTTTCTAATTTCCTAAATGTTGCCAAAGAGTATCACATGTTTGCTGTGCTAGAAATATACATTACAGGGCAACTCACGATAAGTTTAGTTCAGACCTGTGACTACATGAGCAAAGGTTTCACAGTAGTCTTTTCATTTCGTGGCAGACAAGTCGCCGCCTCCACTGTAACACGTATATGTTTAGTGTGAAAATAAGGCTGGTGTGCATGCATCCTTGTGGTTCTCTACCTGTGAGTTAGAAACAAAATAGCTGAACGAGGTGGAGTCCTCTGAAAAGTCTATGTTTTCTGTTTAGTGTAAACTTAAAGTCATGCTAAGGAATCACTTCTTCCACTGAGGCCTCCCCTGATGTGTCAAAGACTTCCACTGTGCTCCACTGGGCAGCGCAGACACAGAGCGCCTGTGCTTCACAGAGGGGACTGACCAGCCAACACATCCAGATCAAATAAGACCTCTGAGCCAAAACTACTGCTGCTGCTGCTGCTGCTGCTGCTGGGGTTTGGGAGGAATGGACCGAACTAATGAAGGAGGCTTTCACTGTCCCTCTGGCTGCTTCACATTGGATGCACAGCCAGATGTGACAGGGCAGTGGGAGGGAAGGTGATTACAGAACTTTCAAAACCATCTAAATGTTGGAGAAAGATCATAAGAGAAGTGAGTAAGTCTTTAACATGAACTTCAGACAGCAACTGAAACAGCTTCAAAATTAGGGGAAGAATGTAGGTGTTGCAGGAGGAAGTGGACAGTCTGAGGTAATCTTGAGACTTTGCCGACTTTTATTAATTCATCTCTAAACAAACCTTGATAAAAAGGATTTTACTTGATTGTATTTGCTATTCTGTCTTTCTTTGGTCATTACTTTTAAACTATGTATTATTTTATCTGCTGTCTTTTGTCTTGTTGTTTGTTTGTCCTCTCCATGAAGCACTTGCTGTTTTAAAATGTGTTACATCAACAATAATGATCATCCATCTGCTTCATGAATGGTGCTGTATATAATATAATAATGACTAAACTGAGTTAGTGCTACAATGGGACTGGGGCCGGACGACATGGTTGAGATATGAGTCACCTTGTAAGTTAAACCTGGGATGAACAAGCATCTCAAGGTGATCGGAAGTAGTTCACACCCTCAACAACACAAACTTATGTTCCAAGAAACATGTGCATCAAAGTAACCACAGAAACCCAAACTACAAGGAAATCAATGTGTGGAATTGACAACTCATCATGACTCAGACAAAACTTGTCAGAGTGACACTTTAAAAGTTGAAATATTGATGATAAACTGTAACTGAAGTTGCGGCCAACAGGTGATCACTCAATCAATAAACACTTGGATCGATCAGCAGCTGTCTCTGAATCCACGCTCACCTTGTAGACTTTCCCAAACGCTCCATCGCCCAGCTCTCCAACAATCTCCCATAGGTCGTTGGGGTTGATGTCCCGGTGGACGTGCTCGTACTGCTTGACTTTCTTCTTGATCTCAATGGTGGGAAGACGAAGAATCTTGCTGAATCTGGCGAATGCCATTATTTACACCGCGACAACAGTCAACTTTAAAACGAAATGAAAAGGGCTCCGATCTCTACGCATGGAGCATTACGCACGGCGAGACGCGCGGTGCGACTTCACAAATCTGCCAAGTGAGAGTTCACTTCCCGCGTCCTCGAGGGAAACAAAAACTAAATAAAACGTGAAAGTGATCTGGTTCAAATGAGCGACTCCACTCCGTCCATGTCGACCCTGTGTGCGTGTGAGCTCTGGAGTTAGATTCCCATTCACAAAGTGCGGTGGCGCAGGACGCGCGGTGACCACCTGCAGCTGCAAACCTTCACGATGGAGAGAAGCTGTCCGCCTGCGCCTCCTCTGCTCCGCAAGACTTGTTGCTTCAAACAGGCCCCACCTCGTTACCCAACATTCCTCCCACTGCCGTCATGGAAATGTAGTTTCTTCGAAAGAACAAGCCGGCGTCATTCTGACCGCTGCCGAGGCGCAGGGACTCCATGTCCGGGTTGGGCTCTGGGCGTGTCCCCCCCCCCCCATACTTCTCAAACAGCTGGGCCATTGAACAAACCCACTGCTCCTCAGCTGGACCTCAGTGGAACAAACTTTTATTTTAACAACACTAATTTACTGTTCCTTCATAATCCTGCTGCACCTCGATGTGTAATGATATTTATCATCTTTTTAATTAAAGAGCCAATTACGTTGGGTTGAGATTCTGTGTGACTTCGTTACAGTTTCGTTCATCGAGAGTGAATTTAAAGGTGATTTGATCATTTAACCTTTTGCTGTAGTTTCTGTTTCAGCTCAGCAGCAGACTTTACTCAGACTTTACTTATTACCTGCACAAGCTGTGCTATTGCGTCCTCTAGTGGCAGATTGAGCTCAGTGAACTCGAACCTGTTGAACGTATGGAGCATGAATCCAAAGCAGAAAGCTATACGAATATCTTATCAGTGCTGAAACGATTTGTCAAAAATCTATCAATTGAATGAGAAAAGATTAAAATAATATTTTTTTGGACTGAACAATGTTTTATTTCTCCAGGATTTTAGATTTTTACGAGTTTATTTCATTCATCGACCAAACAAAACAATTTGACAGCAAATCTTGAATGGAAAAGGAACAGAAACAAGAAGAATCTTATATAATCTGTCTCTCTTTCACAATACATTCATTAACAAAGCAAATAAGTCAATATGAGGAGTTACAGGAGTTTTTTTTCATTGGGTGTAATAGACAACAACGTTACAAAAACCCAAAGTCTAATTAACGCAGCCTCTATCAAACTTCATCACACAAAAAGAAAACAACAAAAGGCATTTTAATGAAGTTTATTATATGAAATGTTTCTTTTAGAGCATTGTGATAATCAGTGGCAGTAAAGTTAATTATATTCAAAAACACAGAAAAAGGTTTAGTTACAGAACCATAGTCAACATATGTTTAAGTTTGATATCAGCTTTGTGTCTCAATCGTTACATGTAAGGATTGTGATGCTGCTCTGTCTCAGCAGACGTGAATTCAGAATCCAGATGTTAACGCTCCAGTGCAGCACAGTCAAAGATCGTGAACACCAAGTCCTATAAAAAGAAAGAAAGAGAAAAGTTTGTGATTAAAAGTGATTAAAGAATGTAGGGTTGAATGAGTTTTACTTAAGATTAAATGTCATATGTTGTAAGCAGCTAAATTTCAGAAAACACATTTTTATCTAGACTGAAGCAGCAGTTCCAAATTAATGAAAACATCTGCAGCTCGGCCTGGTTTCTGTTAATGGTTACTGACACGTCTGTGACGAAACTGAGGAACTGCATGAACTCTTAAAGCTCAGTTGAGACGTCATGACTCGGGCTGCTCTGCACAGACAGCTCCTGTCAGTGTTTTACAGGAGACCAACCACAGAGCCGCTGAATCAGGACCAATCTATATAATATATAATCTGCATCATAAACCCTGTTTAATCCAGTGAAATGACTCAGCGAGTGACCCATTAAATGAGAGTCAGTCTCAATGTGTGTCATCAGTGTTTGTTCTTTTCCCATTTCCTGTTTCAAGTTAATTGGTTGGGTACTTACAGTTAATTAAATAAACCTCAGATGCAGTTGTGATCCTTAAAAAATGAACAACAAACAAATGATTTGTCTCTTTGTGCCTCACTAAATTTGATCCAGTTAATGGCCTCATGGCACTAATCAATCCGTCTTCATGATATAATTTGAATCTGATCGAGTTACACTCTTTGAGACGCTGTGTCTTGTCTTACCCCGTGACACTTCTCCCCCATGAAGATGAAGAGCTGTCTCAGATTGACCCCCAGCTTCCTCACGTCTCTGGTGTAAGCACAGCGGCGCTGTCGCAGGCCCTCCACCAGGGAGATGTAGGTCCTTATTTTGTACATCACACAGGCGTTCTGGAGGCATGAGTTGCAATTAGTGTCCCTTTACATGATTTACAGAAGCTGAGGTTTTGAAGCCAAAACACCACAGAGGTCAGTGAACATGTCATAACAGCCAGATTGTTCAAAACAGAGTGAAAAGTAAACAACTGAAGGAACGGATCAGAAAACACTTTGTTTCTATGACTGAGGGGTTTAAAGATATTTTTTTAAACTCTAGTTCCCTTTCAGATATGGAGGTCTCTTTATGACAATTTAGCACAAAAACAAATTGAATATAGTAAATGTGCGATATACAATTTATAAACTTTTGGTATAATCATGTGGAATTCAAGGTCATACTTACATGGACATCAAGGTAAAGTTCTGGCATGTGTGCCATGCACAAACTCTGGATGAAAAGAACAGTATGAATCTTAATGTTTAAAAAAATTAGTGGAATAATATTTTACAGTCTCATGTACAAATGAAATATTTTCACATTTAGGCTATATACTTAAATCTGATTTGATTCAAACTGAATCAAACATGAATATAAACCCAGATAAAGAAAAATCTGCAGTGTTTTCCTTATTGGATCAGTTGAAAGCAGACAAATGTTAAAAAACATCACATTAAAATCTCCACTTACAGTTTCAGGGTCCCTCTTCAAATGTGCGGCACGGTGGGTGAGCTCCCGTGCCATGCCCAGTACCTTGGTGTAGCATGTTGGTGGGAAGAAAGGGTAACTCAGCACCAGAGGCACCAAACATGAAGCCAGCAACAAGTGGTTAAAGATCGCCATGCCTCTGTGACACCTACAGCACTTTCAGAGCCTTTGTGTCAGATGAGTGCACACATGCCGCCACGTATGCATGTGGACATATTCCATCACACCCCTCTGTTTACTCCAGAATCATTATGCAGAAGATTGACGGGCGACGACAGACAGTACTTATCTTTATAGAGGAATTGGAGCCAGGTTGACAGGATCAAAGTTTTACTTTGGGTGTGATTTTGTTTACAGTCTCTGTGTGCGTTTATCGTGCCTGTTACTTCATTCCCACTTTAAATATATTAGATTTCCTCAAATAAGATCTGTGTGTATGCTGCAGTAATATTGAAGCCTGGGGAGTCTCAAGACCCAAACTCAGTTTCCAGCCACATTGGAATTAAATGAATGTACATTTTTATTGTATTATATTCTTTGATTATTTCTAGCTCTTTTGATTTTAATATAAAACACTCTTGGTTCACTTGTAATGAAATGTACTATGTAAATAATCCAGTCCTGAGACTGAGGGATCAGATAATAAAAGTGATATTAAAATGCTATAAAAGGTGTTTGGACATGTTTTGCATTATTGCAATTGTCAATATCGTCTTTACAATACAATGTCAAATGGTTTTGGCAGATTCCATCCGGGCTGAAAAAGATATGAAAGTGAAAACAAAACCATTGACATGAGCATGTTGAAGAGAAACACTTTAATAACACCTCCCACCACGACTGGTTTGACATAATTCATAATGTATGCATCGGGGAGGAGGATAGTGTTTAGCTTTTTATACTCAGACTGCAACATCGATTATAAAAGTCAAAGCCTTTTCCCAGAGGAACCTTGCTGGACAATAATAACATACAACTGATTGCTGACTTTTTCTTTTCTTCCACTAGATGGTGGCAATTTTACAGCTCCTCTTGCACCGCTCATAATTCCACAGACCAATTCCTTAAAAGGTCCTTACTTCATCTCTAAATGTAACATATGCAGGCTTCATATGATAAACAACACCTTCAATTACAAAACAAGTAAAAACACTGGCTCAGGCTGAGGCCTCCCACATCATGAAAAGCTTTTCTTGGCCTCCGTCCAGCTGTAATATGACATTGCCATCACTCATCTCATCTAAAAGAGCAGCACACTTCCTGATGCTGCCAAATGCCCGGTCGGGGATTGTTGTGATTTTGAGTGATGCTCGTTAGGTCTTGCAGCACGCCAAAAGTTGGAGTTCTGTTCCCTCCCTCTGCATGAAGATGGATGGCCCAGACTGAGTGTGTCTTGGCATGACGAAGAGGCATGAAGAGGAAGAAAATATGCAGTGTGCACTGTAAGCATATCCCCGGTCTCAAAGTCCCAATGCTCAGCGAATCTCCTCTTGACCTTGGTCTCCTCGTTTAACACGGGACAGAGGTGACCTGGCAGTCTATATAATGGATGGATGTGTTTTTCAGTTAATGACGTCCGTGAAATTTAATGTATGATGAGAGATTGGATTACAGGAATCTCCTCAAAAGGCAGTAAATTCAAAAGCTGCAAACATATATTCTGATTTTAAAGCCCTGGTTATTCGCTGCATTTGAATCCCAGAGCTGACATGCATGATGTGTAAGCACTTACTTTTTCTTAAGTTTCTGGAACTGCATCTGTACTATACTTTTTTTCAAATCTTCCAAAAAATATGATTCAAGTTATGATTAGCAACTTGTGTGAACGTTTATCATCAAGTGAGTAATGTTGCATTTGCATTTCTTTGGACTGTGGGAGGAAGCCAGAGAAAACCCACACGGACACAGGGAGCACATGCAATCACCAAAGAGAAAGGCCCCGGCCAAGCTGGGAGTCAAACCAGGAACAGTGTTGCTGTGAGGAGCCAGCGCCAAACCTTCATGAGGTGTAAGATAAAGGACATTTGGATTACATTACCTAAATGTGCTTTGAAATGCTCACACAAGTCAAACCCATTAATCTATTGTCTCCAACTACCCTGCTGTCCTTAGACATTGACAATTAAGTAATCTGCTTCATACCACTTACAATTTCAAAGACAAAGGGTCAGTAAGACTCTGTTTCAACTGAACTTCCTGTGTGCGGCGTGTGGGAAGCCATGTTGACACAATGAGGAACATGACGACTCCACGCTGTAAAAGCCCAGCTGGTCAGCTAATGTCTGTCTGAGAAGTTGACGTGCCAACCACTGAGACACTGCCTTGTGGAATTCAGCTGTTGATGGTGGACAGTGCAGAACAGCTGAGGTGTAGGAGTCTGGGTTGGATGTGCACTATTCTCTCTGGCAGGTTCTACTCCGGGACATCAAGTTTTGGCATGTGCCTGTAAAATAGTGAATCCAGCCAGACTGTTTCTCTCTGGAGGCCCTGATTTATCTCTCCCTCGGCCTTTAGCTTGGATGAGGTCAGACTTTTTTTTCAGGCCCTCCAACTCCTGACAGAGGACATCCTGTTCATTCCTCAGCCCCTGGATCAGCTCCTGATCCTCTCTTCCCTTTCGGAATGAGAATCTTTTCTTCTGTGCCTTGAGTTGCTGCTGACAGGCGTATTTTTCTGGAACTTGGTGATGAGACTCTTAAGTACCACCAATAGGACACGCTGCAGTGAGTTTTCAACACCTCGATCTGGGTGTCTGGATCTTCGTTTGCAGCCTCACGGTCCCTCAGTTGTCTGGTTGGATTATTGGACCCCAGGTCTGATAGATTCCATCTAAAGATCATAGTTTTCACCTTCAGCAGTTTGACAATCATCTCAGTTCAGTGATCCGTTGTAGTATCTCAAAGATGGAGCTGTTTCAGTAAAAGAGAAGAGGCCACCCAACCCTTCATGCAAGAGGCAGACAGAAAGTGATATAGAAAGATCACAAAACATCACCCTGCATTGTCCTCTACTCTTTTTGTATTTGTCTTACATCAGGTTTTGGGTTTCTTTGTGTCTCTCTAGTAGTTTCATGTCACTTTCCTTTGTTATTTTGTGTCTCTGTGGTTATTTGACTCACTGAATTAATACTTTAACCTATATTGTTTACAGTGCATATCACATCTCAACACTATTAAACGTAATATTATATCCATACTAAAAGGATATTATATGTATTAAAAAGCCAATAATATAGAGTAAAGTATAAACTCAGCATAGACTCACAATGAAACACCAGAGAGACATTAGTGTTCAGTATTCTCTCTGTTTCATCACTATTTCAATATAACTTTAAAGGCTATTCGGAGGCAGCAGCCGGCTCAGACCGTCCCTCACCTGGGAGCATCGTCTTGAATCAGCACTGTCAACAATCTGCCTTTAAGCAACTCAAGCAAGTCCAGCTGCGTATATGAATATGTCCAAATGAGCTGTTCTGGGTGAGTTATACACCATGATCAGCTCTGGGTGGCGCTGTTCTAAAGCTGACCATGACCTCTGACTCTATGGCAACAACGATTTTGCTGCAGGTCTTTGAATAAATCATTTTTTTGCTGTTTTATAAATTAGAATAGACACTGTGACAAACGGTTTATATTAAGACTTTACAGTGGATTGTCTCTTTGTAAGACTGAAAATGTAACATCACTGTAGATTTTATTATAAAGTGTCATCTATTGAAAATGAAGAAGGGGTATTTATTATTTCCCTTCTTTGTGACTGAATGTTGAGACAGGGATCCTCAGCCCCACAGCTACATCACACCAGCCTATGAAACGTGCCTCTCCAGACGCACGCTGGTTTCCAGCTCATTACACAGACTGCGATGTGGAGGTCAGTCGCACTTTCTCTCCCAAATCCCTCCTCTCTCTTCCTTCTGTCCTCCAGAAACATTTGGGGATTTGTATTTTGGCGCATCCCGCAGGTCACGTCCCGCTGCGTGGCTCCAGGTGTCCCGCGGTGCGTCGTCGGTCCGGACACGGGACCAGACAAGTGATGCTCTGAGCTGCGCTGTTGCTCCGCTGTCGCCTCGCGTCTCTGCAGCAAACAGGGCTGGAGATGGTCCCATGCTCGAGTCTCCGGCTCCGATCAGAGGTAGGTGCCCCTGTGTGGAGGCAATACTTTCTATTCAGCGCATGTTTCTGCCTCTCTCCTCACATATGATCAGATAAGGGCTCCGAGCATTGTGTCCTCTGCAGGAGAGGAGGCGGGGGGGGGGAGAGCTCGGCAATGCGGCTTCCCTCACTAATATTTGAACATTTCATGGATTGTGGGATTGTGGGATATTCAGATGTGCTGTGTTGACCTCATGATGCAGCCAGAGGATGACATGCATGGAGGGCTTTCCTCTGGCGAGATGAACGTTGTCACAGCCAAATGAAGTTTGCTTGTTTAACCCCACAAATACATCTGATGACTCAGTTCTAGTCATTCTCCTGTAAGATATTGCTTCTGCACAAGGTGTCATTCAGTTTAAAATGATATGACAGCAAACAACAGAGGAGCAAAGCTATGACGTGTTGTGATGTACAATTAAATAACTCGGGATAAACTTACTTTTTGACACCTCTGACACCATGGGAGGAGGATATTACAGAGATGAGACGTAATGCTGTACCTTTATGTCTAATTAAAATATCCAAATATAAGCTCACATCTTTCATGAGACAGTAGAGTTGTTCTCTTTTTTTAAGAAGTTAATTATTGTCTTCTACTAGTGGAGAATAACGTAGTAACTCATGAAATCATGGAGTGAGGCACCCTGAGGGATTACGGTACACAACGACAGCAAACTGTAAATCAAAAGCCTCCAATCTTGTGCTCATAATGGAAAAATGGATCATACCATTCATCACACACACACACTGTAGAAGGATGTTCCTGTAGGATCACATTCTGATTAAAATATAAGGGTTAAATAATTGATGAAGGAGAGGAGGAAGGAAGGAACGAAGGAAAGGAGACGAGACGACGACTTGTGGGAAAATAAAGTAATTTTCCTTACTCATCAAGCTTCTGTTAAGTGAATGTTGCTGCTCTTGTGTCACTATTGCAGCACAATTGTTTTTTTCCATCTAAGAAAGGTCAGCATTGATCTTTACATGACGATATGATTCTGTCCATGTCTCAGAAGCTCTGCCCTTAAACTTCACTTTCTCTCCCTTCTATCCTCTCCTTCCCTTTCTCTCTGTGCTTCCTGTCCTCCCTGTGCCACTGGTGGTGTCCTGTTTCCTTGCCTCCACTTACAGGTTAGACTCTCAGTCAACAGAGGGCCACCGCCACAAACACATCAACCACCCTCCTTCTGCCGTCTGGCAAGAGTCATCCATCTCCCTGCATTCATCTAAACAGCAGTGAAGACGGACAGGGCTGAGTGGTCCGGCACGTAGGGCTATATGTGTGTGTGTGTGTGTGAGGGGCAGTACTGTTGACCAGGCTATGAGTGCGTCTCAGAAGGAGAGCCGTTCGATGCTGAGTTGAGCAAAAGGAGCCAGAACAGGAGAAACTGTGAGAGGAGCAGCCATGGGGCTCGGACAATCCAGCAAGGCTCCGGTCACAGATGACACGGACGAGGGTGAGTGCCAAAGCATCATTATTTTTCTTCATCTGCTTTTGTTGCTCAAACTGGAAAAACTGTCTAGAAAGTTGGCACACACAAGTGGTGCGCAGGATTAACACCATCAGTTTATCCCAGGGTTGTCCACCTCTTCTGGAGCCTTATCAATGTGTTAAGCTATTCTATTCTATTAGCTGAAAAGATTAAGTGCACTTACAGTAAATGGTTAGAGTGATGTAATGCTGATGAAGTGCCACGGTGATGGAAAAAAGAAATACCCCTTGCAGGAGGCACAGTGATGGAGAGAGTGGTGGATATTTATTATGCCAACATAATGATATAAAATAAAATATAAGAACGGAATATAAAGTTGTTTTGTGAAACCCAACTATATCTACTTTTTGAATCTCTCTAATTTTAGTGTAAAACTCTTCATATTTCTGATTAATTGAAATTGGTTGAATCTGTCCAAGCTGAATCCTGAATGACTGAATGAGTTATTATTTGATCGGCAAAATCTTTCTGGTTTTTGAACTTATTTGCCCTTTTTCTTTGCGACCTGAGGAGATAATACAATGTGAACTTATTGATCTGAGTCAGTCCCTGAAATTAATTCCTCTCGGGTTCTGCCCCTGGGGGACTTCAAATAAGTCTGTGTTACATGAGTCAGTGTTTTTTTTCATCACTGTAGAAGAAGTAGGTACTTCTGTGTATCAGGAGATAAACATTTGTTTGTTTTTCTAGAGTTGCAAACTGGACATACAATATGTTTTCAGTTGATTTGTATAATGCTCCATAATCTGATATGAATTTCCTCACTGTTGACAAACCAAACTTTTTTTTTTTCACCCTGCCTATCTATGTCTATAAATGCCTCCCACCCAGTAATGACATCCATTTCTTTGGCTTTCTATATGGTCCACTGGAGACAACCTCTATCAAAGAGAAAATCATTATTCATGGTTAACCTTGCAGCTTACTCATCTGGTGTGCTGTTCTGGAAATGTCACTCAAAGCCAGCGCTTCTGTGAACTCAGAGTTAATGGAACAGTGCAGCTTGTCCCTCGCAAAACAACGTGGGCGATTTCACCCAGGGCAGTGAAATAATAAACACAGAGGCATGTTCTTTTTTTTCTTTTTTTTGAATTAGAAATAAAAAAATCCTATCTGGAAACAAAGTAATCCCCTCGCTGATGAAACTCACGTCAGAGAATAACCAGACGGGTGTTCCTTGACTTTGTTGTTTTTGCTTGACATTGCAGTGGGACTATTATGTCCCCTCAGTGCTCCGTATGCACTCCCAAGACACCTGGGAAACACGGGATGTGAAAGAAAAGGAGGGAGGAGAGATACTCAGAGGTAGAGGCAGACACATTTAAAAAGGAGTGGAGGGATGGAACAAATGAGTAAAAACATCTAATGATAATCATCAAAAATTTGAAATGGAACTGAAAAGTGGAACCCAAATTCTTGTTTTTGTAATAATGACGTGTCGTTGACATGGAAACTGTTGCCCCTGCAGCCCCTGCTGTGCTGAGAATCTCCAGGTTTAATCCTATGATGAGGGTTATTGGTCACATTGAGTATACATCGTCCATTCACTCCTTTGAGTGGCCATAAAGATGCAAATTGAGTTTTCCTCTTCATACCTCATAAACGTCGAATGTCGCTGCAAGGTGATACTGGCCACAGATGTTGAATTATTTTAGTTTGTTCGTTCAACAGATAAAAATGATACAATTTCAAAAAGACTTCAATGCACAAAAAAAATCTGTGGCACTCTCAGGCTCATCTAAACTTTAGATAAACCTAAACTTGCCACACGATAGTTTTCAAGTGTTCTAAAGCTTTAAGACTTGATCAAAGATAATATTCTAGGTCAACAAAAATATGATCCCAAAAAAAGATATTGTCAGAAATAATAGACACCTAACATAAAGTGAATTATCTGAGCATTTTTAACACTTAGTTTCTCAATGGAATCTACATTTATTTTATTTAACAGACGGTTTTCTCTGCGTCAGTACAAAGACACATGCATTGTTTATAACTCATACTCAACCCATGTTAGTTGATTTACAGAGAGGTGTGTGCATGAAGGTGAACTCTGTCCAGACATGTTTATCTCCTCGGAGAATGATATGTGTCCCTTATGTGCCACATGCCATGTTACCGGGAGACTCTGGTTAATGGACGGGCCCCATTAGCTGCCGATAATACTTTATTCACATCGCAGTGGCGCATGGACCCATGGGTTGTGTTTCAGCTGTCAGAGCGACAGCGTTAGTGCAGACGTTCCCACTCCGGTGGATCCTTAAGTGATTTACAGGCTTTTGTGTGGGGGGTGGGAATGAGGGGAGAATGAGGAGAGAGACGATACGGTAAAATTGACTAAACAATAGCGTGTGTTGATAACGTGTGCGTCACAGCCAACAGTTGCTCTGCTGCATCTTTTTCGATCTGTTTCAGTTTCCACCTTCTTCCTGTGACCAAGTATGTTATAAAGCAGCCAAAGTCATAATTTGGTTTCTCTCATTTACATATTTTTCTATTAGTGCTGTCAGACACTTAACACTTATAAAAAAAAATGATTTGATGGAGGGACATGAGTGACCATGTGAACTCAATATAAATACAGGTTAATGATCGTATGTGATCCCATGAAATCCCATTAAGGGACGAGCAGTGAACTGATCTCACTGACGCTTCCTGTGCAGCCGGGCTTTTGCAGCAGGCGACACGTTCCCATCACTACATGAACACAAACGCTTTATTTCAAGTCAATCCCATCTACACGTTCACTAGAGTGTGCATTCAAATGTGTATTTATCCAAGGCTGAAAATAGTCCTCAGCAAATACACTTTCTTCTGTTTGAGAACTGTTTTCTAAAAGCAACAGTGACCTGTTAGAACTGGATTTGTGACCAGTTTGTAGATCTTCAACAGGAGCCAGGGGGCTTGGGCTGGATGCTTTTTCTCCTCTAGATGAAAACCTGCAGCTGGTGTTTTTTTGGTGTATCCAGAACTTTTTTCAAAAGGTCAGTGACAGGATGTCAAAACAGCATCTTAAGCTGAAATCCTAAGTTCTGCCTGACTTGCTGTGCAGGTCAGCGTGAATTGAAATTTGTCATCTGCCCTTTTCTGCAAAAGGCCCGAGTGGACATCTTCGGGGGACATCCACACGCAGCCCAAAATGCATGACTGCACACGTGTAAACATGACGAGCACTGAAGTAAAAATAGAACCATTTTGGGAGTATATGAGTGCTGTGAGGGTAAATGGAGCGAAAAAGACAAGGAGAAGATGCACTTTTGAATTTAGCCAAAATTAGTGTGGACGTCCTTAGACACTGAGCTAAAGACAGCTTCTGGCAGAAAGAGAGAGAAAGGGCATACAGCACAGTCAGAGACTCAAACTGAACACGCGGTGAATTCAATCCAGACTTATTAGCATGTGTCAGTCAAATTTAAATTGAGTAGCCGATGAGCTCCTCAGTAAGAAGATTTCCTCGGTTAGTTTAAGCCACAGAAAGGCAGTCAATGTGTCAATTCCACTTTTGCAGATTCCGATCATTACACGCTTTTGTCACTGGTGTGTCCATCATTTCACGCAACACATTAATCCATTCAAATTTCTGCTGGGAAAAAAAAGATAACATCCATCTCACTCCGTCTCTCGCTCTGTGCCTGACTCTGGCTCTTTGCATTTGTATGACCGCATCTCTCTCTCTCTCTCTCTCTTCGATCACCGAGCTCTGCCCCGTCATCCACGACCACAGCTGTCGCTCTGAAAAACCCATCAGTGCAGGATCTCCAAGTAGCTCAGCACCATGTTTATCTGAAGTGTGCTTTTGTGTATATTTGTTGAGTATATAGGTGTGTGTGTGTGTGTGTGTGTGTGTGTTAAAGCAGACATCATATGGCCCTGTATCAGAGAAGACTGTGTAAACACTCCAACACAGATAGTGTCAGAGGAGGAAGTGCCAGTGATACGAGACTAACAGAGCATAACATTAGCTGTCACATCCAATAGATCTAGTGTCTGCAGATGGAGTGTGTGAGTGTGTGTTGTAAGAGGCAGGTAATGCTCAAAGTCAGCACTATATTTGTGTTTTGGAGAAAGACTCATTGCCCTTTGGTCAGATGAGTGTCGGGAGTGGGTAGCGGCTGTTCCATCCCCTGGGGAAAAACGGCAGAGAGGGAAAACCTTCTGTCCTGGTTGTCATGGCAGCAAGAAACAAACAGCCCCATCCAGTTTGCAATTGGCAATAAATGCTGCTGATAGTAGAAGGAGAAAGAGACCGGAACTCTGGTTTATGTTGTATATGTGTGTGAGTATGTTGCCGTGTGAGGGAGACACAAAAGAATGATACAAAGGCTGGGAAGACACCAGGCAGCTAAAGATAAGCCTTTTGTTCGGAGGAAAAAAAAACATGCGCTGCTCATAAAAAGATGTCTGTGTGCTGAGGCTTATTTCCATTCCCGCTATATAATGTCAGTGACCTGTAGTTGCCCCTGAGACCTCCATCTGCTTCAGCTTGACTGTAATTATTATTGAAATAAGCTCAGAGTAAAATGTCACGGTGGACCTACTGTAACTGTACGGATGCTTCAAATTACACTCTTTCACTGACTGGATTTATATTTTAAGAAGGATGGAAATGCCATTTGGTGTCTGTATTAGTTTATATCTACATGTCACACATTTTCATAGAGCCTTCTTATATATTTCAAGCTGATATACATATGTTTTTGTATGTTTAAGCTATAGCAAAGTAGTTTCATTTTGACTTTCAAGTTTAAATTTCTGCTTTTTATTTCATGTAATTTCTTCTTTTCTTTTCCACAGTCAATTTCGACCACTTCCAGATCTTAAGGGCAATAGGAAAAGGGAGCTTCGGAAAGGTAAGCCCATGTTTGCCAAAGTGATTTTGGTTTAGTCTGAAAAAGATGTTACCCATGTTACTCAGATATTAGTTGGAATCATGTCTTTGCACTTTCACCTACCTTGTCTAGTCCCCAATAACTGTCTCAGAAAGATAAGTAACTTATACACAAGTCAAACTAAAGGACTAAAGTAATTCTCCTATCAACTTGTTTTAACTCAACCCCATCCCCGTTGATTTCCTTGTGGAGACCTTTCAACATAAGTATTATTACACGCAATATGCCATGTCCTCACTCTCTCAGGACAATATCCTCATATACAGTCTTGTAAAGCGTTCTGGTTGAATTTACTCTGTGGAAACAAATCTGAGGTGATAGCAGCCATGTCTCCTCTCACTGTTAACCTATATAGGGAAGAGCAGTTCACATCAGCAATTACAGTACATGTAAGCACATATAGCGACACACGCACACTCGCACGCACATGCATACATACGATACACACCCACATGGCAACAACACTGTCCAACAACAGATAAGCAGTCTAATCACAGTAGAGCAAGCTGTTCAATGGGAGGAGTGATGTGATCAGGGTTTGGCTGATTAACTGTGCCAGCTGGTCTACAGATCACTCTCTCAGATAGCAGTAATCACTGGCTTATTGACGCTTGTAGCACAGACAAGCACGACTACAAATAAATATGGGGAATTACACTGGCACATATTGGAAATACTGACGATTCTCAGACACGTTGTCAAAAAGGGGGCAATCTTACCCGGTTTGATGTAAACACACAATGACAGATTGCACCAGGTGTTATATTCTGCATCCCGCACCACCACATCAACCGCGTTATTTATTTCCACTGACGTAAGCGCCCCAAGTGCTGTTTGAAGCTGTTCTTATCTTGCAATTTTGCAAGAAATTCTATGTTCCCTGCTGACATGTACTTGTTACTAATTCTTCTGAAGGCGAACATAAAGTTTCCCATCTCTAAATTGCAGAACATACTGGTGTGAAAAGTTTAAAGTCTTAGAAGAGGATTAAAACTGTTATTGCAATGATGTTACAAACACCTTGTGTCACATGCAATACAGCTTCAGACAAACACGGATGAATGATGGAAAATGCACTAGTGGGCAGACACATATTGTGAAACTGGACTGGTTTTCTATACGCAAAAGAGAATATCAGAATTCTTTTAATAATCATTTAAAAAAAAATTGAAGTAGCAGCTGATAGATCTTCTCAGCGTATGCGATACATTCTCCCTGCTTGAAGTGTCATATGTTTCACGCTAAAAATGAGCACTTGACAGAAAAAAATTATTGAACGTGTATAGTGGGTCTCATGTCCCATGCACTAACATTGAGGAGGTGAATAAATATGATGCATCTGACTATTTGAGGCTAAATAAAAAAAAAACAATACAGTATAATTTTGCACAAACTAAATGTCGACATTCACCACAATTGCACATGATGTTCATCATACTGATTCAGGCAGGGATTAAGTATTAATCCTCATGTGATCTCATTAGGTCTGCATCGTGCAGAAGAAGGACACTAAGAAGATGTACGCCATGAAGTACATGAACAAGCTGAAATGTGTGGAGCGGAACGAAGTGAGGAATGTCCTGAAAGAGCTGCAGATCATGCAGAACCTCGAGCATCCATTCCTGGTCAACTTCTGGTAAGCAACAGAATAAGTGTTTGGTGAAGTCTGCAAATGTTCCTGATGTGCAATCTGATATTCACCTCATCCATCACACTGGTTATTTTGGCAAACTCTGTGACAATAATTAGATTAAATCTGTTCAAGCATAGACACACTTCTGTGAGCATCACCCATTAAAAAAGGCCTTTCACACAGTCTTGATTTGAAATTGCAGAAAGGTGTGGACCACTGAGGAACACTCACAAATCTCCGTCCACATCAGCTTACTCCTGAAAGTTGCTAAAAGGAAAATCTAGTTTGCTCACTGATCCGAGCTCAACTCTCATGGACACGACTCTCCTCCCTCGGCAGCTTCTCTGTTTGTCTCACCACATTTGGGGGGAGTTGAGGAGGTATTCTCCTCAACTCTGTTTGGGCTGATTCAATCTGAAAGCGATAAACTCAGATGACTCACCGAGGATCTTAAAGAAAATCAAATCCTTCATCACAGAATGAAGGACCCAGCTCCTTTTGAGATGTCTGATAAGTATGGCTTGTTAATTTTCCAACTAAAAGGCGTCATTAATTCGTAATAAGAAATCTCGCTCTGCAGGGTTTTGAGAGGAAGACACACTGTTTTTTCTTTCAAGCAGAAAGTCCAAAGATGAAAAATAACATCCAAATTTCTTGCAGTCCAGTTTTTAAAAACATACCAGCTTTTTATTTATTGAATTATAGCATTACTCCTCTTTTTGAATGACAGGTTCACTTTTACTCCTGTACCCTTTGTCTTCTGCCCTACTTTTCTATCCTCCCTTCACCTTGCTCCCATTACAGCTATATATGCTTCTGAAGCAGAATCAGTGACTGGTCTTTTAATTAGTAATTGAGGAAAACAAAACTAAATCCTCCCACATTGGGAATGATTGAGACGTAGAGAATGAAACAAGAGAGTAGAGAGAAGTGCAGCATACGGACTCATCAGACAAACAAGGCCAGCGCTTGCTCTCTTTCTTGCTTGATTGCATGCTGTGTTGGACAAAAAAAGGTTGTAAGTTAATGCGTTTGGCAGCATAAACCCCTCTGGGTGCATGGGGGTGATTTCCTCAGGAGATGTGCTTGGGTCAGCACGGTGCCCGCTCGCCCACTCTCTCTCTGTGTCTGTCTCTCGCTGTGTTGCGTTGGCGTAAGTTATGGTTGTCCTGAGGTAAGTGCTCAAGGTCAGAAACAGGAAGAGATTGCTGTGCTTGCTATACATGCAGAAAAATCAGGCTTTATTTTCTTCTTTTGTACCCTGGTCCTCTTTTCGTTCACCTCATCTTATTAATCCCTTCTCCTCATCTTCCTTCACCACCTCTTGTTTCTCTCTTCTTGCCGTCACTGCACTTGCTCCTGGGTGTGACCTCAGGTGTCCGTCTGAGCACGGTGCATGTGCAGCAAAGCAACAATGGATTTGGAAAGACACAGATCAAATTCAACAAGTCATTTTTCCTGAAATACTGATTTTGAAGAATCGTAACCTCTGGCATTGAGGCTGTGATACGGTCAGTGTATTGATGTGCCAGCACTGGTGGGGCATCCCTTTGTGCCTGCTCTGCACAAAGTCCCACTGTGTAAGGAGAGCCCCTGTTGGTACTGGCCAGAATCCACTCACACTGATTCAGAGACATCAGTCAGAGAGCAGCTGTATTCAGCTCAGTCTTGTTGCCCTTTTAACTGCACATTGTGCAGCTGATTTGTTTCTTGATGGAGGGAATTTCAAGGAGGAGGAAGTTGTGTAAAGTATGCACTTGTTGTTTGGTGGATGAGTTGTGTGTGTGTAATGTGTTCACTGTGAGTGACAGATTTGTTCAGGACACCAAGCAGAAGGAAAACAGTTGTGCAGTAATATTTAACACACTTGTCTTTTGTTAACTTGATGTTTTTTCAATTTTTTCAATAGCATCTGGTGAAACGTTTAGAGGAAAACAACCTAAAAATACATTTGCAATCATCTATAGAGGAGGAATTTGCAGTTCAACAGGCAAATTCCTAGAAATCTCAGAAAAAACTGCTTACTGCCAGCGGTGTGGTAAAGATTTCATAATTCAACTTTCTTTTAACAAAGTCTATAGAACAGTTCATGTTCATGTTCCATGTTTAACGTCTATGAAAAATGCAGCTAAGATGTAACATGCTTTGGTTAAAACCCCCAAATTATTGTGACTGTAAAAAGAAAAAGAAGCACATTAATAAAAGTCTAAAACGTTGCTTCAGGGGGACCGTCTTTTGTTCGGTTATTATGTAATCTTACTAATGCATTTCATTTCAAAGCGGAGCAAAGCATCATTCAGTTTCACTCCCCCATTCATGTGCATGTTTTTTCCTTAGAAAGCCAAACAGTTATGACATAATGTCCCGTAGAAAAGCAATCATGAGTATTCCTCCAAGCATTTTTGTATAAAAGGTCTAGTTCACCAGATAAGTTGTATCACAGAGACGCTACAGTTATAAAGCCACATTTGGAATGAATGAGGAGCTAAAATTCCAGACTCAATTATTGTAAGAATGCAAGAGCAAAATGTGCTGTTACCTAAACTGTGTACTTGTGTGTGCAAAATGTGCACATCCTCATTTACTCTACTGCCAATGCTGAACACTAGAAAGCAGGGTGTTAAACGTTAAACGGATGGAAGATCATAAAATTAGTGTTGGTAAGAGTAAGAAAATATCCTGATCAAGTACTGAGTGTAAATATTACTTTTGCAGAAGTAAAAATGTGGTAAGACCAATAAGCTCATTTGCTACATTGCTGATATTTGAATGGCCGTCCATCTTCTAATTTGTCCTGCCAACAGTTTCATAATTAACCAAAATTGTCTAGACTTTTTCTAAGAGATCTCTCAATCTTTTTGCTCGATTGATTCATTTAGAGCTGTCTGCGCTATTTGTCTCATGCTTGCTTGATTCCTCTCTTTCGCACTTTTGCGCTATCGTGACGCCCATTAAGTTTTTACCATCCACAGGACGGTCAGATCTCATAGTTTCAGCTGCGGAGTGGCATTCAATGTACACATACTCCCTCACATGCAACTCTTTCACTTTCTCCTCTGTGCACTTTTCATCTGGACTGAATAAATTATGTGGGGAAAAACTGCTCATAAATAACAACCCCCCCGAATATGTCTGATAGATTCCCACTCTGAGAAATAAACGAAATGTTGAAAAATGTTGAAAATTCCTCATCTAACAAGTTTCGTGGTAACCCAGTTAGTAGTTTTGCACATTCCTGCTAACAAACAAACGCAGATGAAAACATAACCTCTTTGGTGGAGGAGACTTATCCCGTCACTCACTGACTGTAAATGGAGTTTTAGAGTTACATTTAGTATGTATGTCAACATCCAATTCCTCTGTGCTTTTCTGAAAGTGATGTGTGTATGTGGGTTTTTCTGAGACTGCATCCATGCATGTGTTCCCAGGGAGCGTTACACACTGATGGGAGCTGTCAGTCACATGGATCGTGTTTGGTGATGGGGTGACAGGGAGGTCAGAGGGCTGTCGGCAACAATCCAACACGTCATAGTTTGAGCAGTCGGCCGGCTGTGTTAGTTTCAGCAGGAAGCTGTCATCAGATGAGCATGAGCTACTGTCGATTGGCCATATTACAACTGAGATTTCACTGATTCATCTAGAGAAACGATCAATATTGTTATGTCTTTTATAGAGGGAAAATAAATGTTTATTTGAGCATGTAATGTACTAATTATTAAAAACTTTTTGGGCTGAATATTGCAGTATGGAGATCTACTCATCTTGATTTAAAATCCATAATCTGCTTAATCCGCCTGTCCTTCAGTAAGAAACAAATCTAATGCAGTTTGAAAACTACAGCTGCTTTAGTATTATTATGTTCAACTTTACGGCTTCACATGTCCTAACTGTTACATTGTAAAGAGAGAAACGGCGTCTTTTTGAGAGGACAAACTCGCATTAGCCTCCGAACCCCCCAAAAGGTTTCTGAACACCTCCATTACTGAAGTAGCCTGGGGGGCGTCTGCCTCTAAAAGCACCATGCAGGATGCGCTCCCATCAGACCGACTGCCTGGAGGCCACAGGGAGGTCACATTGAAAAGCATGTGTGTCGGAGTAGAGGCAGACACCAAAGGAAAAACAGAAAGGTGAGAGAGAGAGAGATGGGGGGAAATAGAAACAACATTAGGACAAGGGAGAGAAAAACAGCAAGTTGATGAGAACACAGGCTTGATGCTACAAAGGCTAATGAAATGTCTGCACCATTTCAACATAATGTACAGGTGCTAATCTGCTGTCTGAATGCTGTCCTCTGCTCTCGGCCAAAAACGTTTGTGGTGACAGCCGCTAATGGATGCTTGAGAACCTCCTTCTGTTCTGTTGCTGATTGACTTTTTCAGTTCTTCGCAGCTGCAAAATGCAAACGACAGTTAAAAAAATTGTGCTAAAATAGAAAGTACTCATTGGTGGAGTGATTATTTTCCACTTCATACTTGTACATCTGCTATTTCTTTTTTGCCATCCTAACTAGTTATCATATCAAAAGTAAATATATTATATATATTTTTCTTATAATTATTTTTGATGCAGGTGTGAAAACCAGTATGAAGGCGTTATGCTGTCAATCTCCACATCCGTTGTTTATTTTTAATACTTTATTATTATTTGTCTTTAAAGAAAAGTGAGTAACACCAACAAAGCTGCTTAACTGTGACACCAATATTTTCACATTTATGTGTGAGTTTTGAAATGATGGCTAATTCTTTCATATATATTTTCAACACAAAGCTATGAATGGTAATGTGTGGCCTAATGATGAAAGTGACTCTTTAAAACCACATCAGTCATTCATGGTGAATTGGGTAACTTTTGTGACCCAGAGCGTACCTGTGACGAATGACTTAATGAGCACCATTCTAATTCATTTTGACAGCAGTGGCAGCAGGCCAAAGGAGACTTCATTCATATTCAAGCACCCTCTAAGTACAATGTTACCATTTCCGAGAGAGAGAGAGCGAAAGAGAGAGAGAAGAATATGAAAGGGTTTTTTATTGTAATAGAACAATTTACACTCTTTAAAATCTCACATACTGTATGCATACAATAAGAAATGATTATTAAGTGCAATGATGTGCAGAAAATCAAGTGTTGAAACAGGTAAAATTACAACTGTATACTATACATTTTTACATGTGTTCATGTGTATGGGTACATCCCTATATTGGACTTAATCAAGACTTATAAAACTAGAGGGACACTTGGAAAGTGCATCCCTCCACCAAGGCTGACATCCTATCTCACTATGTTGAAGAAACCACCTCATTCGAATCAACTCTAAAAGTAAAATGGTTCTTCCTTGGACCATTCCACACCGTTCCACCTAGTTTCAAGGAAATTGGTGCGTAAATTGGTAAGAACAAAAACACATCCGCCTTGTGAAGGTAATCAAGATTCAGGAACTGTAGTCATAAGAAAAAGGTGCCATTTGGCAGTAAGTGTCTGCTGCGTACTCGCCTCAAAGTAATTATATTGTACTAAACAGTAAATGCCTCACTGTTTTTGTGCGACAACATCATAGCTGTCAACCCTCTCATGGCAGCTTTGTTCCTGACCAACCGTGTGAGAGAGTCAGTCTTGTTTGCTTATAAAGGACGAAACAAACCTTCCAATCAATGACGTCCAGGTCTGCTCAGCTTTTATCACCTTGACTTTCTGAAGGAAAGACTTATGGGACAGAAAACATGGGAGCCTCAGCCAAGCATGAGTGCTGGTTTTCTACTCAATTAAACTGGTATCACAGGGTCTCAAGTGTACTATCAATTGACTTGATGTGCTTCATTAACACCAACCCAACCTTCTCACCCAAGATATCTACAAGACATCATACAGCAGCCGTGTATATTAAACACACATTAACATATTAATTTACATTTGAGGTTTTGCTATGGTTTTCTAAGCACCGACACATGTTTGGAATGGTCAATAAGAGATATTTAGTGAGTACCAATGGGACAGCTCAGTGACAATAAATAAAATGTATTGATGTAAGTCAACTGTTAATGCTTACAATTAACAATATAATCTAAATGAAAAAGGAAGAGTTTAATTAAATTCTAAGATGAGGTTGAAGTTGAGAATTCAGTTCAATGAAATAATTAAATGGCTGTTTTCCTGGAAGAACCCAACGTTTCTCTGCCAAGAAAAAAGAGCAATTAAGGTCCAGTTTGTGTCTCCTAACTGCTTGCGACAGCAGCAGCTCCTGCAATTACTTACCACCTTAACTAACGGTTTGCTGTTAGCTGTGTTAAGAGGTATTTACACTGTAGGAGACTGAGGTAGAGAGGTAGAGAGGTAGAGAGAGAGAGAGAGAGAGAGAGAGAGAGAGGCCAGGAAAAGGGACAGAATGAGCAACTAAGACATAATCACCAAGATTAATAGACTTGGGGTAAAATGGAGTCCATCCAACAAACGCAGTCTGTTCTCTTGGTCACATTTTTAACAATGAAAAGTTGGTTCACAGTTTTCAGCTTTTTATTTTTGGTGAGCATATTAAGGGCATAAATATTTTACACACATTTGGCTTTGCACACTTTTTGCATGCTTGGTTTCACAATAATTAATGTTTTATTTCCTGTATCATGCTTTTCCCCTTTATGATATTGTTAGTATTTTCTCTAATGGCCTATATCCTAAAATTAAAGCTTCAAACTAATTCAAATTCTCCACTACTGACTGTCCTTCACGTGCATAGACACAGTTTTGACCATCTATAAACTCACTAGTCAGATTTGTGTCCGACTCAAAAACCACAAATCCCGTATCGTAGTGTGGCATCGCTTTGATAGTTAAGAGAATATGATGTGAATGTGACACTCGTCTGATCTATGCTTCCTCACTCTCTGTGCCAGTCTCATATGACTTCCAACACTTTCACACTCTGTCCCTCTCGTATATTCACAAACTCATAATACACACACATGCACGCACACACACACACACACAGATCCACTCCCTTACATCTAACGACAGCAATTGGAACTTTGATTTAAGTCTCTGTAGACTCCCTATGAAGTGCACTGATCTCAGAATGTCCAATAGGTAATTTCTTCTCCTCTCGGCGTCATTGTTGGTTTTAAACATTTCATGAGTAATTAGTCTCACATATTCAAAAATAAGAATTTGTTAATTTCACTTCTACTTCAACTACAATCTGTGTGTGCAGTCAATGATGGGTAGAGAGTGAACCTCAATACTTTCTTTTCTTAAAACTTTTGTTCATTGGTAAAAAAAAAATGTATGTGATGCTCTGTGTCTTGATTGTTGTAGGTAAGTTAAAAGCCTCAGTCATGTTATACCTGACACATGGACTTGAGGAGAAGGAAGGACAGTGTGTGCATCTTCATGCTGCTCTTTGTGACATTGGCAATATGTGCATCTTCAGGACGGTGTGTCTCACAGATAGTCTTTCCACACAGAAGGCAATCAGATGTTAAGTGGTCTCAGCATTATCTGAGCCTCAGCAGACAGTTTGGAGTCAGCTCAATCAATCCCCATCCATCCAGTGCAGAAAAGCACCAACACCAGTTTATTTTAAAGGGCCCTGAGGAAAGGAGTTCACCTATGTGGCGGAAAAAAAACTACCCTGGGTCATTGTGTGTTGACTTTGAGCCAAGATGATAAAAAAACTCTAGTCAACATTGAAACCTCTCAGAATTGTTCAGTAAAATAGTAGCCTGTGTTTCTGATCAGGAAGACGCTGAAGGGCGTAAAAAAGGAGGTAGTGTTCTCCAAACTTATGGGAGATCTGAAATTGCAAATGTAGGACGTCGTGTTGCACACTGTACAGAGCAATGCTTCAGGCGAGCCAGGAAATCTTGGCTTGCGCAATTTCTTTCACATGATTTTTGCATAAATTAGCTTCTTGTGGGAGAGACACTAATTAGCTCAACGTTTAGAGAGGTTGTGGGGGGTGGGAGGGGGATGCATGGCCCCAGCAGGATGCTCAGCACGTAAAATCAGTCATGATTTGAGCAACAGCTTCTTAAACGGCGTCACGGTGAGCTGCATGCTGACACTTTAGGCCTCTTCTGCATGACTGATGGATGAATACATGGATGACCACCAAGTTGCATGCCCAAAAAAAAATGACTCACAGAAAAAGTGAAGACTGAAGCATATGCATGTACAGTATGTTCTGCAAACAATGGAATAAAGCTACCATTATTGAGCTAGAAACACTTTCCCGACTCTCCCTGTCGGTGAAACCAAAGCAGACATTTCCGTTATTCCTGACAAATCTTAAATCTTATATAAAATAGCAACAGTGTGATGGGAAAGCAGCTCAGCCTTAAGAGGGACAGAAGCAGGACATGGAGCCATCTGAGCAGAGAGTGTTGCTGAGTAGACGCACATTGTTATTGAGCTGACACATAAGAGTCTTAGATAAGAGTTGGAATAAAAAGAAAAGAAGGAACTGGTACAGTCTCTACTTTCTTCTATCATAACGACTTCATTCTGAGCTTGTTAGTATTACAGACTATTTCCTCAGGCAGGAATCAGCCTGTATGTACAGTAGGTGCTCCTCCTGCAACATAAGGAGAGTGATGAGTGTTTTCCTTCTGCTTGGTTAAAGACACAAAGAGCAGAGCACTGGCTACCCTCAAACACCCCTGGAGGCTCCTGAGTCTGTGTTTTTTTAGACGTCACAAGGCTGAAACACTGATGGGTACTTTTGTCTCGTTTGTTCTCGTCCAAACCTTTTGTACTGAGGTCTTGAAAAATACTGTCTTATAAAAGCTGATTTGCCGGAGGAGCACAAGGCTGACATGAGTTCAATTTGCACTTGTCATCCTCTTTTATTGCTGATGGGTTTTTGTTTTGTCTACAGAAAGTTAATAAAATCAGTTTGACAACCCAAATTCTTCCAGCATTCATAACTCAAAATAAAAAGGGGTTGTGCTATTTCCACAGTGTTGCTGTCTCTTCTTAATCACTGATCTATGGTAATGTGTGAGTTTTTCTTCCCTGGCTCACTTATTCTCTTCCCTCATTTCCTTGCTCTCTCTGCAAATTCCACATCTCCATATTTACCCTCCTTTTAAACCTCCCCTCTGTTCCTCCATCATCACTATTATCCCCGCTTTAATTCTCGATTTTTCTGTCTCTCTCTCTCTTCCTTCTATCTCTCTAATTTTCCGTTTCACCGTCCATATGACCACCTGTCTTCTCCCTGCAGGTATTCCTTCCAGGATGAGGAGGACATGTTCATGGTGGTGGATTTGCTCCTGGGAGGTGACCTGCGCTATCACCTCCAGCAGAACGTTCACTTCTCAGAGAGCACTGTCAAACTCTACATCTGTGAATTGGCCCTGGCTCTTGGGTACCTCTGCACTAAGCGCATCATACACAGGTGAGAATTATTTTATATCATTTTCTCTCTTCACTGAACCCTTTTTGTAGGTTTATACAATACCCGTCAATACATCCGCCTGTTTTAATACAATATACGTGAGAGAAATAATGTTTAAGAGGCTGCCCCATTATTTCTCTTTATATTACCGTATATTTTCCCTTGTTTCTCCGACACCACCAAGTTTGAGCATCAAGCAACCTGGTGTTTTTTTCTCCTTGGCTGTCCACTTCTATGTTATTTTCTAATATGACTGCCCCTCCGCTGTGCTGAAAGGTCAAGCTATCTTGACATGAAGGTCACACCTGACAGAACAGTTTACCCTGAGCTGCAGACTATGGCCATCACGATATGCACCGGTTCAGTGCTGCCTCATCTAATTTGTAAAATGCAGGTTAAGTGCTTTTTAGGCAGAAATATCTTTGGCTATGGCAGACCCACAGACTTTCAAGGGCAAAAGAGACATGGCTACAGCCCAGAGTGTTATTATTCTAAGTCAAGCCACTCAAAGAGCTTAGGGTACCTATAGGACACATTGGTGCAGCCAAAAACCACTGAAGACTGAGAAATCTGAAGTTTACCTCAACCTCATAAGACAGCACAGATGAGACAGAATATCATTTTCACTGCCATTTTTCACCAACTCAGCAATACAGATCGAACAGAGGATGTCAGCACAAGATTTTGACACCAAAGTCCAGGATTTGAGTCTAACTAGTGCAGTGCCCATTCTAAACATGCCTGCTTGCAGGGGCTGTGGTGATGCTGGTTGCAGCTTTCTTTCTGAAACTGTAAAAGTAACCTTTGAGTCTCAGCATGTATAGACGGCAGGGTCTAAGCTGCGAGACTCGACTCAATATGCAGAACCCTAAACTGGAGAATCAGCTGTTGTTCCGTTTCTGTGACAGTATTGTTGTTGTGATTGACTGTCACTTAAATTGATGAGTCCCAGCTGCTGCTGCTGCTATAGAGCACTGGTCGACTGTTTTTTCAAAGTTTATTAATGTTGAATGTGCCTTGTGTCCAAATCACACCAAATTTGGCACTGCATTTCCTTAGGCCCTAAGGAATAGACATGCCAAGAGTGAAGCCAATAAGATGAATGGTTTTGGAGATATGCAACAGACAGACAGAGATTCTGGAATTCAGATGTTCCATGAAATGTTGCCAAAGCTTCTTAAATATTTGATTTTTGTATCTCAGTGGGAGAGAAAACGCTTCGAAACTTGAAAATAACGGTTTGCTCAGGCAAAGGAAAAATGTACACTCCTGTCAAGAGTGTAAAGAACATCTACAAACATTATCTACAAACATTACATGCACAAAATATTAAACATTTGACCTTGGCCTTCTCCATTTATAAGGAAATATCAGTTCCATGGACAACATTAAATTATCAACACTCCGTAAGAACAAATTACTCCATTTAACTCAAAGTAGACTCGCTGTTATCACTGCTTTCATACCTCCAAAGGAAAGAGAGAAAGAAATAAGTGAGATATATTATTAATTTGCTCATTCACTCAGTCCATAGAGGGATATGAATATTTAAATTATGTTTTCTATTTTAGTGCTGGAGGGGACAGACTTGCCACTTGATGTGCAGGTGTCGGGGGCGTTTGTTTAGATGGAATCAACATCTTTTCAATCTGCATTCATTAGCTTCAAATAGGAAGAGGAGCTGGAAGTAAGAGCTCATCTCTATGGAAATTGAATTTCTAATTTCCTCCCCAAGATGTGGACAAACTGACTTTGGTGAGGCGAGTGACAGCTTACATCTGAGTGAGTGTGTGAATATGCACCTGCACATGTATGTATATGCGGGATATATACATTAAACTTCCACTTGTCTTTCATGATTCAGATGATGAGAGGAGTAATGATGATAATCATTGCCTAATTTGCATGAAACATGACAGTAACGTTTGATTATGACTATGGTGGAGTATGGTAAAGCTTTAGTAATGATTTGGGGACTTGATTTAAAACCATTAGCCAAAAGGTGTGTATCCCACCTGGGCTCTGGTCTGATGCACCGGGACGTTTGACAAACAAAAGCATTTACCTCAGGAATATGAATAAATTCTTCTATTAGCTTAGAAATCACTGTGTTTGGATATAAGGTTTCATGTGGTTGGGATAAGGGTGAAGATATAATCCCACTAGACTGGGAATAGAACAACAGCAATGAAAACCACGGACGTCTCTGTGTTTATTGCTAATTATTTCCAATATGAGCTCTTGCACTGTATGCCGTATAGGCGTATGGCAAATATGAGCAATCTCAGAGGAATGAGAGAAGTTAACAACAGGAGTTCAGCTAATCTTGGCTGAGCCTGTACGGAAAAAATAAGAGAGGAGAGCATCATCATGGGATAGAAAAGGAGCCTCTGAGCATGAGAATGATGCAAGATGAGAGCTGATTTAATTCCTCCATGTTATTAAGTGGAGGTGGATGGTGCATGATTATGTCGTGGATGTTAGACAGCAAGATCATTTCAAAATTAAACAAGTTAGATTTATTGCAACTTGTGTCTCAATTCAATTGTTTTAATATATTCTCACCAAACTAAACGCTGAGTCATATTATCTAAACAAACTTATTTGGAGGTAAAATTGCAAAAGCAAATTAGAATGTGAATGGTAATGTCTTATCTCTTGTTGTGTGTGCACGGCTAAAGCAACAATTAGCCAAACATTGAAGCCGACTGTAAACTTTGATGGGTAATCACCCATAAGAAACAGTTTAGGAGAGAATTTCTAAATGATTTTCTAATTACTCTGCCAAAACAGTACAAACCTTGTGTAAATGCCTGTTCATCCATGTCAAACATTTTGCAAGTTGAGTGTATTCTTCAGCAGATCAGATAGTTTAGCGGGTAACATGTATGTTTTCTAGGATTGCAGGTTGTTGTTTATAGGCCACTAGAGGTTATTTCTAGTATTTGCGTTATAAGTCATAATTTTCTTGTCTTAAATAACAAACATCAATCTCAGAAAATGTTCACCCTCATGAGCGTCATACACTGTATCTTCATCTTCAAGTCACTATGTCATTCTGTGTTTTTACCCCAAAACCCTCTGAGGAGTTTGAATTACTAACAACAGAATGAGTCTCATTTAGACGATACCTTCAGGGACTTGATGAGCCTCCAAACAAGTGGAAAGATAAATGGCGAGCGTCTGACAGGGACTGACACGTGTGTGTTTTGTGGTCTGGGGGTTGTGCGTGTATGTCTACCTCACCACAGTGTCTTTGATATCAACACCACTTATTTCTTGTTAAATCCTCTGGTGCATTTTAGTGCCTCCTGGACTCCTCGTAATGGAAAAGATTATCAGCCAGCGCACTTAACAAGTCAATATGCCTGTGTTGCATTTAGGGATTAAACTTCCCATTTAAGTGGTTAAGGGACTAATTGTTTGGCTCATAACAAACTGACAGAGATGGATAGCGATGCTGCAGACATTATGTACTACACAGTGAAAGTGAGTCATCAATAATAAAAATATTGTTGACGAAATTGGATTTAATCCAAACAAAATACAGCATTTATAAGATACCTCAAGAATATTATATATGGTTGTGTGCTCCTTTAATTTCCCTTATTTTAGAGAAGGTTTGCAGTTGTTGTTGAACAACGGAGAAAAAAAAGTATTTTTAGCTGTGTCACTTTAACTGGTTTCGTGAAATCACCATTGTGGTTTATTTTGACTCATTTGTCAAATTCAACACGTCCTTCAGCTCCAAATGTGTATTAATCCATGTCTGAAAATAGTCCCTAAAAGACAAACTCTTCCCTATTATTTGAGTAAAGTTTGCTACAATACTAAACTGAATCTATTTAAATAAAAGACAATAATCTCCTCACAAAAGTTTTTTCAGCTTCAACTGAAACAAATGGGGAACTTTGCAAAGAATTGCGAGACAGATTAACACATTGTTGCTTTTGGTGTTGCCAAGGAAATCATGCAGAGTTTTTTTCATTCAGATTCCTTTTCAAATGAGCCGAAGCGTATTGAGACTCAGCTGTTGCATGGAGTAAGCCTATTTCAGCCTAGGAGGAGGATTCTCTTTCCCAAGCTCTGATCTCTTCTCATCTCTTCTGCCTCTCTCTCTCTCTCTCTCTCATACATACACACACGCACACACAGTATAAAGTACCTTTCCATAATAATCTCCCTCAGCATCGCTCTCCCGCTTTTCCCCTCCTGTGCTATTTTCTCTACCAACTGTACTTTTATTTTTTCCCATGCTCTTCTCTCCCTTCACCCTCATTTCTCAGTCTTAGGTTGTTCAGGGTCTGACTCTTTCTCCGAGGGAGTGGCACAAAGCGTATGTGTGCTTCAAATAATTTATTTGCTCCTTCATCCCCTTCTCGTCCAGGGGCCTGTAGCCCAGGCTGCCAAAAGGGAATACGGTCTTAATTCACCTTTCTGGTTAATTGAAGGTGAAAGAAGAGTCTCAGTGGGTTTTCGGTTCTTAAAAAGAAGGGAAGTTACATATTGTAGCACTGCAGATTGCATGGAGGCAGGTCATTACTCTTACTCTCTATCAGCTCCCCGAAACGGCAAGCGTTTGTCATGTGTTCAAGTGAAGTATTCTTTATTCATGGAGTGTGTTAATGTTTTATTGTCCAGCAGAAGAGGAAGAAGAAGAAAAGCAAGAACCGTGAGGGAGGGGGGAAAGGGTGGGAGAAATTATACGCTCATATTTCATAAATGCAGATTAAGGTGCCAGCTGGTGCCGATTTTCCACCACGAAACGGTGAATTGAACATTATCGCTGTCGAAAATCTCCCACGGCTAGACCCAGCTTGCGGTGGCAGATTAGACGATTGGAGGAGGTTTGTGCTCTGAACACGACAGAATGTTTACCAGCGAGCCTGCTCCGCAAAAGAATCACTAATTACCTGCTGGTGTATCTAACTCAAAATGCCTCCCTGTTGCAGAAAGGATGAGAGAGACGTGGGCAGACAGACAGACGTAGACAGAGAGAG